GGAACAGTCCGATGAAATAATCTTCACATCTGAGCACCAGTTGTTATTAGTCATTACACACACACCGCCTCCCTTACTTTTCCCCGAGTTAGCAGTCCGGTCCTGACGAAAAATAGAGAATCCGTCAGGGACAATAGCGGAGTCCGGGATAGCGGGGTTGAGCCAAGTCTCAGTGAGAATTAACACGTTACAGTTCTTAATGTCCCGTTGAAAAGCAATCCGGCTTCTGAGTTCATCTAGCTTATTTTCAATGGATTGAACATTAGCCAGAAGAATACTCGGAAGAGGGGGCCGATTCTCTCGTTTTCTCAGTCTGACCAGCAACCCGGCCCGGCATCCCCGCTTTGTCTTCTTCTTGCGTCTCTCAGGTAGAACAGCAACAGGTAGCCATGGTGAATCTCCATTGTTTGTCGGAGGGTTAATATTGTCCACGAAGTTTCGCAATTGGAAAAGTTCCTCTCTGCTATATTGTATGGCAGAGTAGGTGCGGTCGGCTAGCATGTTGCGAACCATGTTAAAAGTAAAACGGCAAAAGTAAAAGAAATATGTACAAAATACGAAAATGGGCAAAGTTGGAGAGGAGCACAAAGACGATGCGGCCATCTTCACCGGCGCATCACTAGGTTCTGGCAATAAACTGGCAATAAACCTGTTTCTGATTTTGATTCTGATAAAGTGTGACATGTAAAACCTTTTATGCAATTGACAGTGATAAAAAGGGATTTGGTTTTCATTAATGGAGGAATAATTGTTGTAAATTAAAGAAATTAACTGTATTCTTTCATTTCATTTTATTAGAGGAAGTGTGCAAAAAGAAGTGGAAGACACTGAGGGATAGGTACAGGAAGGAGAAGCAGCAGGAGAAGGAGGCTAAAAGAAGCGGTGCAGGGTCTTCAGGGGGATACAAGCCCTGGCGTTTCGCGGCAATCATGAGTTTTTTAAACCCATTCATGATTGACCGCGAGACGTCCAGCAATGTCCCCCGGAAAACCCTGCCTCCATCCACCCTAGACGAGAGCCAGGAAAGCCAGCCAGGTGGCAGTCAGCCAGGTGGCAGTCAGCCAGGTGCCAGTCAGCCAGGTGCCAGTCAGCCAGGTGCCAGTCAGCCAGATGCCAGTCAGCCAGATGCCAGTCAGCCAGATGCCAGTCAGCCAGCAGAGGCAGGACAGACAGGACAGGATGCAAGGGGTTCGTTCCGGAGGAAAAGGGCAAAGGAGATGTCCTCCTTCGAACAGAATTTGCTGTCTGCCGTCGCTCCAATTCTGGCCATGCCATTGGTGGTGGAGGAGGATGAGGACATGTTATTTTTCAGAAGTCTCTTGCCCACCATGAGACTGATGTCGAGAGCAAAGAGGCTGCGAGTCAGATTTGCATTATACAAGGTAGTTTTAGAGGCAGACCAGGAGGAGGAGTAAATACTATTAAATACTGATACTGATCCACATTACACTTTTTTACACTCATCACACACTTCACTCACAACATTACATAAATAAAAGTTATTTAAAGTATGTTATGGCTATACTGTGTCTTGACTTGTTCATGTGGTTTGTCAGTTGCAACATACCAGAAGCTTCATGTATGTCGATATATAATGTGCGGTCTTCTGTAATTGTTCAAGTGAAAACCTGTTGTAATTATGAGTGGTTTATCACTAAAAACAGGACTGAAGGAAAAAGGTTGTTAGTCATATCATAATATCAATTCAAGAAACATGTTTATTAGGAATGTTTGATTTTAAAATGGCTCATTTGGAATATTTGCTTTTTAAAGAAAATATGGGTAGCTCTTAAAAGAGCTTTTGGTTTGGAGACAATGGTGACCCTACACCACATTCGCCTGCCATGGCACTGCACCCTCCTCATTGAAATAGGAGCTGAAGGTCTCCTGCAGTTGGATGGATCTGCGTTTGGCATTGTTGGAGCCCATCCTCGGTGCATCACACAGGGTTGGAGTATCTTCATCCGTGGACTCGACAAGAGGTGTGCGTGATCGCCTTCCTATCGTCTTCCTGCGGAGGAAGTTGTGCAACACACAGGTGGCCTTCACACACAACTCTGTTACCTCCGGGCTGGTGGTGATGACACGCCTGAACATTCTCCACTGGGATGAGAGGATGCCAAACGCACATTCAACCACCAACCTGGCCCTGCTGAGGCGGTAGTTGAACATCCTCCTTTCACGGGTGAGGTGACGTCCAGGGAATGGACGCAGCAGGTTGTCCAGCAGCGGAAAAGCCTCATCTCCTACAAACACATGGGGAAGAAGGCCCAGCTGCTCTGCTCCTGGGATGACGGTGTCAGGTGGTAGCTGCAGACTGCCATCTCTGAGGCTCTCTCCAAATGCAGAATTCCGCAGGCTCCCACTGTCGCTGCTCCTTCCAAAGCCTCCAACATCCACTACCCTGAAGAGGTACCGGGCATCCACGACAGCCAGCAGTACCAAGGAGTGGGTGGACTTGTAGTTGAAGTAGAGGGACCCAGAATTTGCCGGAGCCTGGATCACCACGTGCTTCCCATCAATGGCACCAACGCAATTCGGAAAGTTCCAGATCTCATGAAACTCAGCAGCGATGGCTCTCCAGTCCTCCGTCTGTGGTACCGGCATGGTCTCCTCAACCAGGGCGGTCCAGATGGCACCCGCAACCTCCTTGACGATGACAGCCACTGTTGCATGCCCGACCCGATAGCTGAATGCTATGGTCCTGTATGAATCACCAGTTGCCAGGTACCTGAGAAAAAAATATACACATGATTAAAAAAATATATGTCAGACCCCACACACATATACACACACGCATATCCCCCCCACACACACAGGACACAGACACACACAGATCACATACACACACAGATCCCCCCCCACACACACACCACAGATCACAGACACACACAGATCCCCCCCCACACAGACACACACAGATCACAGACACACACAGATCACATACACACACAGATCCCCCCCACACAGACACACACAGATCACAGACACACACAGATCCCCCCCACACAGACACACACAGACCACATACACACACAGATCCCCCCCACACACAGACCACAGACACACACACACGCCATGTACACAGAGGAGCAATACTGTGTTAACCTAGCTATCTTAATTAATGTCATCCATCTGAACTAAATCACAGACTTCAGTCATCATTCATCCATGGCATGCATTCTCTCTTTCTATACAGAGTCAGATGAAAGAAGTACAAATACACAAAACGTACCGTAGGCAGATGGCGAGTCGCTCGGCGGGTCCGATAGACACACGCATATTGGTGTCCACCTTTGTGATCAGTGGACCCACTTTTCCGAGCAACTCGTCGAACACGTTTTTGCTCATCCGAAAATACTGGTGGAACAGGTGGTCATCCAGACGGAGCTCTTGGACCAGACAGTGGTATTCCCCCCGTTGCTGACGTTTTCGGAGTATTGGATGTACCCAAAAGCGATGCACTCTAGGCCTCCTGCGAGACATTGCATACACTAAATTCACCCTTGCTACTACACGTTCTACCCTTACTACAAAACCGGCATCCATTTTGGCAAGAGTGGAGAAGAACCGGGCTTTTTTGCTTTGTATATCGGGGGCGGGAGATTCGGGGGCGGGAGATTCATGTGATTGGTTGATCGCAAAAAGATCCCCAAGCTTCAGATACGCCCACCTCCAAGATTTTTTTAACGCTGCCGTGGAGACGGCCCGTAACTGTTATCTCAGGTTAATCTCGCCCCCCTCCGACGTAAGCGGTTCTTGCTTCTACACGGACAACTTTTTGGTGCTCGAAACGAACCGGATTCCGGAGCTTAGAGGCTGCTCCGCTGCGGTGTGAACAGGAAAACCCGGTGCTTTTCAAGCACCAGCACCGAACCGGCCCCGAAACACCGTTGGTGTGAATGGGGTATGAGAGTTAGACCTAACACACTTAGCTATTTTATCTACCTCTGGAACAAGCTAAATTAGTTATAAATATATTTATTCTTCACTGTCGGGTCACTCATTACTGGATCAGCGAGCTGCATGAGATACTGACAGGCTGCCTGTCAGGAGAGAGAGAGAGGGGGAGAGAGAGAGAGGGGGGAGAGAGGAAAATATTTCTCCCGTGTTATTATCCAAAGTTAATGTAAACTTGAATAATGTACTTCATTTGAATGCAATAATTATGTTTGTGGAAGCGCCAGGGAATGAGCCCCATTAACTGAGTTTTAAACATCACTTTAAATGGAAGATCCCCATAGGACCCGCCCACTCGATCGGATCGGCCCCAAAATTGGCGATCGGAGCATCCCTAATGTAAGTTGCGCTGACAGGTCCACACACTGCTTCCCCGCAGCGAGGCTCCCCCCGCCCTCTTGTTGACAGATCACGAGCGTCGAGCTCCTCACAAATCGTAAATAATCTACAAAATGGAGGAGACCGATCTGATCGGAGCAACTGTGACAAATAATCTGAAACCGGCATGGACAATGACTACGTTTTAAAAATGCGCCTATCCAGAAAAGCCTGGTTTGGACACTTTACGGGCAGAAGAAACATTTCTATTAAAGAAATAATTATACATTTCTGTCTTGTTATGCCTATAATAGCTACTAACTTGAATTTTTATTCAAATTAATTAATCAATTATTTTTTATATTTTATTGTAATGTAGAGACAAGGCTTTTAGTGACAATCATGTATTGCGTTACAATTATATGTAAAAAAAAAAAAAAAGTCTAAATATGATATTTGGCCTCAAATCATCTGAGGCCTGGCGTCCCCCCTGCGATCTTTGGCGCCCCCCCAAGTTACTGTACACTTTTGAATAATGTAGTTAATCTACTATAATTAGTTTGTTTAATATAGAGTCGTTAAAGCTCAATAAATAACAAAGACCTTTGACCAGCACTTTTCTCATTTTGTCCGGAAGATTTAAACTTTAACCGAAATGTTGACTGGCAAAAAAAAAATTCTAACGGAAACTCTGGTGTGTGTGTGTGTGTGTGTGTTTTCAGGGTTTATTACAGAAGCAGAGGGAGCTGGAGACTGATCTGAATCCTCTCCTGAAGCGCCATGACAAAGAGCAGCTGCCACCCTCGTCAACGCACCGCATGTGACCTTTCACCCCTGCTCCGTGTGTGTGTGTGTGTGTGTTCCTGAGTCAGGATAAAGAAGAGACTCTACAGTGTTTGAACCGGTCGTCATGGAGAACCTTTGACAGAATCAGGAGCTCGTCCATCACTTTGAAACTGGATGTGCCACAAAGTGGAGTTTACTACACTAAAGTGCATCAGAGTGAATGTAAAATGTAGTTTTTAATGCACTTTCCATGAATGAGACTAACAAACAGGTGTGGAGCTCAACGTTTATTAAAAATCATGAAATCATTTTTTTTTTGTTTCTTCGGCTTCTTGCTGGCAAGGAGCTTTGTTACCCTATGCTTCTGTGTTTTGTGGGTTTAAAGGTCCCATGTCATGCTTCTCCGGTTATTACCCGTCCCCTTGTGTGTTATGAAGGTTTCTATGCATGTAAACGGTCTGCAGAGTCACAAACCCTCAAAGTACACCCTGTAGCGAGTAAAACTCTAACACAGAAAATACCTGTCTATGCTGCTCCAAAACGCCTCGTTGGAGATTTTTTTTTTTCCATTGTTTTCTTCCTGGGTATGGTGACGTGCCCATACCCAAATGGACCAATCCGTGGAGCTCCACACACACACACACACACACACACACACACGCACACTTACACTGTAGGGTGTAAGGGGTGCGGGGGGGGATGCTGGTGCTGCAGCCCCCTCAGCACCCCCCCCCCCCTTCCATTCGGCTCCTCGCAGCAGCGAACTGACCAATCAGAGCACACTGGGCTCACAGGGAGGGGGGGGGCAGGAGCTCCAACAAGCCGTGTAGGACAGAGAGTGAATACACATACTATACAGAGATGCTGTATGAGAAACCAATGTGAGTTTGGAACATTGCACAATGTAAATCTATTCTAGTAGACCTCAACAATGGAATTATGATCAGTAGAAATGGCCATGACATGGGACCTTTAATGTGCTTTTTTATTTATTGCAAATGTAATAAAACGATGTAAAGTGTTACGAGAACCTTACATTTCTTTCTAGACTTTTTTTTGTCGTGTTTTATTTTGCCAACCACCTGACCAATGAATTTCAACAAGGCTCTTACGTGAGAATTTCATGTGGTAGAGATTGTTCTTATTATATTTCACTGGACACAATATCAAATGTAATGCTGTCAGATTCCAATCAGACATAATTTATAATTTTTGTCAACGTTCCGATACATATTTTCTTAAAGGTGCCCACTTTGCCCTTAAACGATCATTCTGTTAGTCAGCAGGATAGATATATATAACCTGTGTTGTTTTCTACAATAAATTGGGTTTTTACTACCCTCTATTCAGCTTCTAAAAGTAAGATAAGAGTACTACATAGTTTAAGCATATTTTGGTGAAGGATCTGAAAACTAGATAAATATAACTTGGGATTATATTCATTGTTCTGTGCATCGTCATTTAATAATAAGCATGTACTTACCATGTTAGCTGAGACCTGGACACACGAGGAGCACTGAGTTTACATCGACAAAAAACTGGAAATGAACTACTGAAATAGCAAACGGGAACAGAAAAGGAGTAAGGTCTCCCTTGAAAAAGAGATCGTTGATCTCAATGGGATTTTTTTCACCTGGTTAAATAAAGGCTACAAACAAACAACTTACTGTGACCTGATGAAACCAACAAAATGTATACCATACCATATTCTGTAAAGGGCCCCTATTATGCAAATGTACAGGCTCATATTTGTATTTTGTGCCTCTACTGTGACATGTCTCCATGCTTTAATGTTCAAAAAGCTCTCTCATACTGCCTGTGCTGCAGCACCTCTTTTCACCCTCTGTCTGAAACCAGAGCCCAGTCTGCTCTGATTAGTTAGCTGGCCGGCTCTGTTGTGATTGGTCAACGTCTTAGATGTCCAACCCTTCCCCCATCACGTACAATGTGTTGGAACGCTAGCCAATAGAAGCAAAAGTGTTATGTATGATGTCATGTTACGGAAGTAAACAATCAAGGCGTTTCCAAGCCCCCAGGAAGTGCGCTGGCCATTGAAACAGATTTTTGGAATGGCCAAATGGCGTTACAGCCTCCGTGTCCATCCATTATATAATTTTGGCCCAAATAAAAAAATGTTCCCCCATTTAACATATATCAGGGTATCTTTTTTGTGTTAAATTCAGCACCCAGTGCGAACACTTTTACAGCCCTTATTTAAATCATTAGGCTTTAAAAGTTGTAAAATGTGCTAAAAGACGAATCCAGAGTTATTTTTCCTCTCCATTCCGAGAGCCCGAGATCGGAGGCGGGGCTTAAGGAAAAGGCATACTCTGTAAAGCCCTAGATGACCCGGGTACTTTCTGAATCTGTAGTCGCTCCATGTTGGTCACAACAGAGCAACTTTCATAGGAATGAACGGTGCCTTGCCTCCGACACTATCCAGTTCTCTTTATACAACCATGGGTGTTTCAGGCAGGGAAGAAGACAATAACAATACGGTCTTGTTACAAAAAAATTCAACAATAAAAACGAATTCATTGTAGAAGCTCTTATCTAAATTGAAAAACATTTTTTTTTTACATTTCACAAGTATTCTGGTTTCGTTTCTACAGAAGAGGTCAAAAACATCTCGTGGCAAACTCAATGTTTACAACTTTTAATACAAAAACAATATGTAAAAAAACATTTAAAAAATATTTTTAAGTTAAAACGAGTCCCATCCTACTGAACAAACAACAGCAACTAAACACAAACAGCTTGCAGGATGACAAACAAAACATTCGGTACAAAAGAAAATGTCCACTTGAAGACATGTCTGTCCTATTTCAGTCCTTCACAGGTGTTTTTTTTCTTCTTAAATAGTCTTCTTTCTTATAGTCAGGGTGCATCTCCCATGATGCAATAAGAAAAGGTAAGCAGGTCATGTTCCTTCGCTGTAGAAAACGTCCTTTTGTTGAGATGAATTAGTCGGTTTGCTGGAATAGAAAACTCGTGAAGCTGGTGGTGCGTTCAAGAAAGCTGGGAACTTGGATACAGCCAGTCTTTTAACATTCTAATCAATGCCCTTTCTTAGAGCAGAGTACAGAAAACAACAGTGAATATTTACTCGAAGCTTTTGAACTGATTCAATCTGAGACGATGTATTCAGTTTAAAAGCTGAATTTTACAAATGTACATTCAAGGTCAGAGATTAAATAAAAACATGGCATAGAAAATTGGCATTTGCTCACCTGTAATGTCTTTTTTTATCTCCTGCACATGTGTAAAGATGCAGGGGATTTCCATTAGTGGTTTTCTGACAGGTCAACAGGTAGAGGTTACAGTAAGGTAGTAAAGATTTTTATTCTGTTTTATAGCAGCTGATTTCTGCCGTGTCAACACAAACAACCACTTATTTTGGTCCACACTCTGCATACGTCACAAGGGTTTTTTACTGGCCTTAAATCAACTTTCTATGACGACATTTTAAGTGCTTTTGCAGTTCATTTTTGGAGATGGGAAGGTCGGTCATATTCTGAGAAAAAAATCTGAATTTCCAAGAGTAAAGTTGTTAATTTACAAGAAAATCATTAGAGAAAAACGTTTAATTATGCGAGAAGTCAGACACTTGTAAGAAACAACTCAAATGTAATGCTTTGATTTTGTATGATAGGTACTTACTTAAATGGAAGACAATGCTCCCTGTTAAAGTACATGTGATTTGTCACTGAACACCACATTTTTGTATTCTACGCTAAAGGGCGCGTCCGTTTGTGTTAGCGATTTCTGCCAACCTTACCTGGTAGTATCTCCACCAAATAAAAGCAGAAGTGCATACTAAATAAAGACAAGTCAGTATTTTCGACCTTCCTCCTGTTATCATGTTTCTGAACTTGAGTGACTAAAACATCCAGATTCTTGGACACCGTGATCAGTACCATGACGGTTTCATGATCAGGCATTATGAATAATAAAACTTGGAGCGGCATGCAGAGTGTGGTCACTTCTTTCTTCAGCCTGGCACCTGTCTGTATTCAGGGTGTGCATTTCCCTATCCTCTGTTAACAGACTGGTAGTGTTTGGATTTTTGATAGGGAGCAGGTGTGTGAACGTTACGAGCGTAACGTCAGTCAAATCGTCTCTCTACATCCCGTTGAAGCCTCCTCCTCTGTGGCCCCCCCTGAACCTGCTGCTGCCCGGTACTTCAGGATTGTGGAACCCCCCGAGCAGTGGAAGGCCCGTTAAGTCCCCGCTGACTTGTTGGAAGCGCCAGTACAGGGCAGCAGCACCTGGACCCAGGCCTCCTGGCCAGGCAGGCATGTGCCCTAGGAGGCCACCTCTCGGTGTAGTCAGGGGCCCTGGCATGGGGGTGAAAGGCTGGTTGGGGAATCGAGGCAGGTTGGGGGGCTGCAGGATGCTGAAGCCCCCTTGCTGCTGCTGCTGGCTGTGCAGTGGTGGCTGTAGGAATGGTGGAGTCAGATGGAGCGGCAGGTTGTTCAGTTGCTGCAGACGTTGAAGGGGCAGCTGGATCTGTTGTAGACGGGGCAGAGCAGGAGTTGGGATGGGTTAGCCGGTGCTGATGGTTTTTCTCTTTTAAAGGGGCAAAGATTAGCATTAGCATGGAGAACTCTGGAATACAAGGGGCCTTGGATGAGAGGATGGAAGAGAACAAAATAGACAAGGCACTTTTCTTTTAGCAGACCAGGTGGTCTACTTGGCTTTATTCAGCAAAATAAAAATGTGCGTACAAAAAAATATATATACAGAGTAAAAAGTGTGACTTTGCTGTTCTTTGATTTAATAAGGTTTCCCTTTAAAAGAGTCTGGGACACAAAGCCAATGTCACCCTACCATTTGTAGTGTTACGTGCGCCCTGGACACTATTTGGCTTTGTGAATTCAACATGTTGAATTGGCCAAAAAGTGGACCCCCAAAAACCAGAGTCTGTTGGGAAGGGAACTCTCTAATTGTCTTTTCAGCTTAAGCAAGTCAGTGCACAAGAAGAGAAACTGAGGTAAGAAAAACAAAAAATGGGGACAGTCTCTTTTTGATTTCATCCTCAGGAGGCTCAGTCACTGGTACATTTTTATATATAAAGCCATGTTAGGGAAACTTCCATCCTACATCTGCTCCCTGATCTCACGGCGAATTGTAAGTGGCTACTGCCTGAGATCGCATGCTGTGGTTTTATTAAATGTGCCAACTGCTAGGACTGTCTTAGGGAAGATAGCATTTAGATGCGCAGCTCCACTGTCCTGGAATAGTCTGCAATTGAAATGGAAACTGAGCAATCTGGTGCCACTAAATGTTTTTAAAGCTCGGTTGGATGCTACTCAATCGGAAGCTGTTGGTACCTGTTCATGTGGATAGTTATGTAATTTGTAATCCCTGAAATGATACTGTATGATGTCCTTTTGTTGTTCTGTTTATGTTTTAATGTTTCATGTGGAACCTACTTGAGCAGGTCTCCCTTGAAAAAGAGGTCAATGATCTCAATGGGATACAACCTGGATAAATAAAGGTTTGAAATGAAATGAAATCCTCATCTCATCTGATCATTCTATATTTCATTATTTTCACATTGACATCTGCAAATCAAGTGAACCGGTGTAAAAATGGTTGGCAAACTGCTTTGTATTAATATCTGTTGCAAAACAAGGGCTTGGACATCTGCATTCTTGGCTGTTCTGGTTTCCCTTTATAAATGATAAATACTGTGTGCCACCGCCTGCGGGTAAGGAGTTATTTCCTCTCATGCCGATGCAGAACATATGTGCTAGATGGCCATTGGCCGTGGTCTTTGCAGTGTTGGGTGCGCAACTCGCATGAGGAAAAGGGGACTATTTTTGTTCAGTGTACAAAACACACCAAATGATAGGGCATGTTATCATATATACATGGTTACAAATACTGACTGAATTAATACATTGATTAATCGCTGAATATCAAATTGTCATTGGTTATGTAGTAAAACATTTACAAAAGCGAGGTGTCCATTTTTTAAAGAAAAGTTAATATTAGGTTTTTCCATCATGTGAGTCTTTAAAGTGTGGACTCCTTTTCCTGGCTCATGTAGGGAGCACCGGCATAATGCTCTCTTGCTCTGAGCTGTCTTCTAACACCGTCTCTTCTTTCACATTCTGCCCTGGGGGTCCCTTCCTCACTTGGGGTGTGATCCTTGCAATTGGTGTAGAGGTGTGTTGTGGAGACACAGCAAGGATACAGATCCTGGCCCCGTCCTGGGACTGGACCTCGCACCATGGGCCTTCTTTGTGGTCATAACAGGTCACTCCAGAGGCCAACCTATTTGGACCTTTTCCATGTGGCGGTGCCATGCTGGTAAAGACAACCATACTGTTAGCTTTGAGTTCCAAATACTGGTTGCCCGGCTTGAGGAATGGGGGGAATTCTGGTGTCCATCCCGGTCTGGCGTAGGTGATTTTCTTCCAAACCATGGGATTTGAAAGCTCCTTATAGCTGTATTTTTTTCCTGTGTGGCTGTAGAGCTGCAAGCTCTGGCTCAGCCTTTGTGAGCAGAAGGGGATGTCTTCTGGCAGTGCACTCGGCCAGTCCGGGCTGAGCAGGAGGGGGGAGCTTTCAGCATGGCCGTGCTGAACAGGGGGGGAGGGCCTATAGCGGGACCTAGTACGAGGCTTTCGCTTGGGCTTTTCGCTGGGTCTTGCTGAACAGGAGTGGGGGAACTTCTTGGAAAACTCCATCCCAACTGTGACAATGGCGCAGTTGCTTGTGTTTCCAGATTGTGTAAAATCCATTTCCTTCTGGGAACATGTGGTAGAAGATGCCTGGGTTGTGTCATGGTCAAGCCCGTCTTCCCCTCGAGTTATGGCCTAAGGGTAAGGCAGCAAATTAGTGATCTGTGTAAACCAATCTCCTGTTCTACTGCTTTGAAAGCATTCTGCTTCCCAGTAGTGTACCCATTATGATTGGCATGACTTTTGGCAATGCTACTAGGCCAAGGGCTGTCCCATTTTGGCACAGGTACAACTCCCCGGTTGAAGGGTATCTCTCAGTGTCCTCAAGTACTCTGGTGGAGAGAAAGCTGCAGTGGGGCTTTTAGAGGAAACTATTGAGGAGTATAGAGTTTGATCCTCATCACCTTCAAAGGCCATCTGTTGTTGGTCTTTGGCTTATCCCTGCTCCACTTCCTGCATGAGATTGTTAAAGGTTGGGTAGGTTAGTCGTGAGGGGCTGGATCCTAAGGTGACTGTTCTTGCAGATTGTTTGTTTTTGTTGGGGACGGAGTAAAGCCCAAGTTACATCTGTGACATCAATCATAGCCCATTAAAAGGACCATTTTATATTCTGTGTTAGAAGAAATGCACAACTTTAAAAAAGTAATTCCCAACAAGGGTAAGATTTTTTTTTTCTGGTTCTGCACAGCCTTTGCCATGCAGCTTTTTCCCATTTAGGGAGGTGGTGTTTCTGGTGAGCTCCAGAAGTTTGTGACTGACAATGGGTGACTTCCCGCTCATGTGGGTGTTTCCTGGTTATCCAGGGAATTTTTAGGCTAATAATAGCCTTTCCCTCTATGTATAGAGGGTTTAAACATGTCACATGGATTCTGTGATGTTGGTTCTCCAATAGGAGGTGCTCCCGACTGAACGGGTACTGGCTAATATATTTCCCTTTCAGGGATGAATCTCCAGGTTTAATTCTGGTGGTTGGGTATATATTCCGGCAGAGGAGCCGGGTAGGGTATCTCCCATGTGAGGGTTTTTCAATCAGAATTTTTTTGAAAACCTGTAAACATTTAGTAGAACATCAGGAGGTGTCATGAAGTGTCTGATCTCTGGATCGCCCTCGTAGTCAGGTGGTTATATCCAGAGTCTTGATTACGGCCTTGGGCGCTTTGCTGCTTGTCATACCCCACTTTCCCCCCTCCCATTTCCATTCTAAATGTGTCTTCTCTATAACTTATTGTTTTTCTTAATTACGTTTTCTTGCAAAATAAACTTGGAAAAAGGCAATGGGTATAGTATTTAGGGGTATCTATTAAGATATGGAAGACAATATTCAAAAGATGTTTTTGTTAATGTATAGAAGAGAGAAAATCATCATGTTTATAGTTACCTCCACATGTAACCCAATGTTTCAACAGCAGCTCAGAAAAGACAAACACAACTCTGGCTTTAGAGATGGCCTCTGGGATTTATACATTACCTGAAGCTTGTAAAACAGCTGTAAAGCCAGTCGCTGCCTGAAATTCCGTTGTTCTTGAATTTGTTTTGTTGCATGGATGACCTCTGACTCTGAGCGATGTGAAGGTCTTAAAACACTGTGGCGTTAAAGCGGTTTTGTACTCGGTAAATCTTTTTAAATCTGTTGTATTCCTCAACAGGGATTTCCTAACTGTATGCCTTCTGCCTGGACACCTTCTTCTCCTTTCTCTCTTAGGCTGGATTCACACCAAATCAGGGTGTGGGATTTTCACTTAATGGCCCTTTATCAGCAATAGACCTCACAAGGATTAAACATTTTTCAAACCCTCATTAGAAGGCTGTAAAACGTTGGATTCTCGTTAGCATGAGTGGCCACTGCAGTGTGACATGGGGTTGTTTTTCCTCCAGAAGTTTATCCTAGCTAGTTAAAGGTAGGGTAGGTTCGAGATCGCTAGAATTTGAAAATACACAACCGGAGAAAATCTGCCACTTCCTCACAAAGCCCCTCCTCCACACACGAACGCGCACATGACCAATGAGGGCACGAGATAAGTTTGTGCACAGATGGAAGGCTGACAGGCAGGTAGGACATCCAGTTATTTTAGCCGGGCCGGCTAAAATGATTGGTCGTACTTTTTACAGTATTACGGCTTCCACAGATGACATTTTTTTATGGATTTTTTGTCAAAGCACTTAAGATATTCATTGCTATCGGGATGTTGAGAGCATTCCATGAATTCGATGTTTGGGGGCGGCGCGATTACATGTAAAGTCAATGCGAATTCGCTCCGACGGCGAGCATGAAGCGGTGGACGCGGCGCGAATCACGCGATTGAGGCGATTGAACGGTGCCGCGTTAAACGCGAGAGTTCAATTTTTTCAACTCGAGCGTCAAAGTCACGTGACGCGTTCTCGCGGAAGCCAATCAGCGGTGAGGATCTCAACCGCCGTCACTGACGTTCAACCACACAACATCAGCCGTTAGCTGTTAGCAGTTAGCACACAGAGCTCACAGCTCCTCATATCTGTTCAGAAACTGGACAAAAGTTACAAACAAGTAACAAGTACAAACCACAGACTGTCTGTGTCATGGTGAATACAGTCGCTGGTTTATTTATGTCTGTAGGCCGTTGTTATGAGTGTGGAATGAGCATATACAACGTTAGCTTAGCCTGGTCGACCCGATCTTCATTCAGAAAACAAGCATTTTAAAAGGTGTTTTGCCTGCCGTCTTGTCTGCAGACTTGTCAAAGCATTAATTCATGGTTGTTACTAACCGGTATCAGTATGTTGTTACTTCGGCATCATTTAGAAACGTGTATTACAATGTAATCACGGTAAAATATGTTCATTTGTTGTAGTTGTAGCTCCCAAGCCAGCGCGTCTTGTTTGAATGATGCGAGTAAACACAGCTGGCAGCCGCGGTGAAACTCCAGCGTTTAGAGCGATGCGATAAGAGCGATTAGAGCGAAGCGAATAGTCGCATCGCGTCCGGTGTGAACGCAGCATTAGTTGATCTTTGTAACCATTGGTTGGGCCGCTGTTTGGGCGCCATGTAAGACTGTTGGACTCAAAATTGAATAAAGGTATCAATGTGGACAGGGATCGGTAGGCTAGAGCCGTTCCAACAAATGGATTGTGTTTCTGACAAATACTGATATCTAAAGTGTAAACTAGCATAAATCCTTGAGGTAGCAGCATAGTCGCAAGGTGAACGGTTAAATTGCACAAAATAAAGAGGAATGTGACCTATTTGGAATGTGGCATTGGCTGCTAAGCAGTGCCTTGCGTTAGGCCAGTAATTCCTGTTACCTTGGTGACACTGGCAGTGCCAGTTGGTGCTGCATCTCCTCTTATTGGTTGTTCCTGAACCACGTCTCTACCGAAAGAAAACAAAAAGCGGTTCAGTAGCAACATACAGGCAATCTACAGGAGATAAATCACAAATTTACAAAATAGCAATTCTCAATATGCCAGGTTTATACTGTATTATATTTAGACAGACAATTCAGACATTATAATTTGATATTCTTTGGTGAAGTGAAATTGTTCTTTAGGAAAAAATCTCAAGTTTCAGCTTTAAACTAAATCCTTGTTATAACAAAAATGTTATAATGACAGAGTAGTCTCTTTAGTGGACACCAACATATTCTATTTTTAACAAAAAGTATTTAATTTCACTATAGGATTAAAATCAGCTATACATTTTAATAAAAAAAACAACAAGGTTATTTTATTGTTAGTGAGCAGTAGCACCATTGTCAGTTATGTTATTATAATTTTTTTTACAAAACTCTACCCCGAAAGTTCAGTTTTAGTCGTTCACTCACCTTGATTGGTCGCCTTCTACAGGACAGGCTGTGGTACTGGAAGAGGCTGCAGAACTTATCGCTGCTTCGGGAAATAAAGGCTCTCCTTGCTGATCAGCTTTCTCTTTCCCATCATTAGTTGAGTGCGTCTGGGAACTCAGTCCTGTCACTACAGCTTTGCTTTGATTGGACGAAGGGGTAGACGTGTCAGTATTCCTGGGATCTTGACTTCCTCCCAGTGCTCCCACCACTCTTACTGGAGGATCATCTCTGTGACCTCCAGCCTCTCCTCCTCCCCTCCTCTGTCCCTCAGTGAGAGTCGCTGCCCCGCCTTGCCTCTTCTCCTCCTCCATCGTCTCCTGCTTTAATGCTGAGTGGATTAACTCCAAAGTGGCTGCCACTGCTTTTCTGTCCTGAGTGACCTGGACTGAATCGGTGAGACTTTTCTGAGCTAGAGGAGGGGAGGTGGGACCGCTACCTGTAGGAACAACATTGAAAGGGAAGTTCTTCAGGGAGTGGAGGCTTAGCTCTGCCTGAGAGGCCAATTGGCGCTCGGCTCGTAACTGTGAGATGGCTCGTCGGAGAACCTCGTAGTCTGTTTCTGAGTGGAGCGGCACTCCTTCCTTACAGGAAGCATCTGGAACAAGCTGGTCTGACAGATGAGATAGAGCAGGGGGGACGGAGTCGGGCTGCTGGTGGAGATGTTGGGGTTGATCATGAGAGGAGAGGGAAGGGATGTGTTCTGGGAAGATAAAAAGAGAACGATCAGACACAAAGTCACTGAGACAAAGATGTCTCAGGAGACCTGAGGACAGTAGAATGCAGCAGAGAGATCTAGGATAAATGTTCCCAGCTATTTAGACCTAATATCCTGAAATTACATCTACATTTCTTTTTGTAATCCAATCCATTTAGAATAAAGACATTTACCATTTATTTACCAATGCACACTCTCTAATTACTGCCGGAATTTTAACAAAGACTTTGGAAAGAGGATTGTCCACACTGGGGTTACATTAGGCGCGTTCACACCGCAGTACTTTTCCCACTTTAGTTCCGATATAGTTCCGAAATGTCGCGTTCACACCAAAAAGAGCCGGAACTAAAATGAGTTCATGAGAACCTTTTTACCCCCTTTTCCGTCAGTTTTCAGTCCCTGCTAGAGAGCAGGTACTTTCGTGGGAGAAAAAGGTTCCTATGTCTGATTGGCTGGGCGGAATGCAAACCACGCCCGTAAAACTCCCAAAAAGTTTTGTGAAGCCGCCATTTTATTATCCTCGCATTAGCATTATTAGCATTAGCATTAGCCCAGCGCAGAAACGCAGAGAAACTAACTTATGGCAACACAAAAGAAAACATGGGAGCGGTGGAGATGAGGAGGTGTCGGCGTTCTGGCGATTTACTCGGAAGGCTCTGGGGACTTCCGGCCGGGGACTTCGGGTGGCAGTATACGCCGTGAAGTTGTTTGCGGCCTGCCAGTAAACCCAAAGCAGAAGAAGAAGAAGTGACGTCAGCGGCTTCATTTACCTAATCCTCCCTCAGGGACTTATTCCGGTGTGAACGCGATCTGTACTTAGTTCATGAGAACTAAAGAGTTCTGATGAACCTTTGTGGGAAAAGTACTGCGGTGTGAAAGCGCCTATTGGTACTACAGGGTGCTGATTCACACTACCTGACAGCACATCTAGGGGAGAAAGATATACCACCATATAGTTTAATGCTGAATTGGTACTTATTAATTTAATTGAAGTTAAATATTTTACAAATTTCACAAACACCACAACTGACCTTTGGGAGACAGCACGTCATCTATGATTGGCTGCCTTTTCTTGATGTCATGGTGACCAACCAGTCTGCCGAAGTCGTGCAGGATTTCTTCAAAACTGGCCACGATGATGCCACTATTTGAGTGGTCAGGGAACTTCTCAAATTGATGATCTGAGGAAAAATGAAAGTAACGTCAGCACTATAAATCAGGTGGTAAAGTAAGATTTCAAATCCAATCAGGTAATCGCACATGCGTACCAGTGAGGAAGACTGTGTGTCGGAACTGTGTGTATCGGGCCTGGAGTTCCAGCAGACAGACCAGGTCGGGTGACTGAAGGTTCATCATGTCGCAGTTATGATACGGGAGAAACTCAACAATCTGCCGCTTCTGATAGGCTGACAGTACGTCCAGTAGGTTGGCTGCATCTCTCCGGAATCTGACGACCAAAAAAACATTCAACCTTACCCATGGTAACAATGTTCCTGGAACACTAATACATAGATACATATAAAGACAGTGGTTTTAGATTTAGCAGCAGTGTCATATTGTCCTCCTGTCACTGCAGCAGGAAAATACTTTCTCATCTGCTCCGTGTCTTTTTGCTTTATTTTCTTCTCAGAGAGTACCAGAATGCGTAGTTTACATGTTAATATTTTAAAAATCTTCTGGGGGAAGATCCCCCGAAACCCCCTTAAAGGAGTTCGGTTTCCAGACATCTTTTACATAACATCTCAGTTTGCAGGTATGTGTATCGCCGTGGAGAACCGGCGTATGCAAGTCTCCCGAACAGTCAGAGCGGCTTTTATTCCTGGTATTTTCTCTCCCTCAAAACGGGGAGGGAACGGAATCTGCCTTATCCTGGATTTAAGGGCTCTGAACAAATACCTCAGAAAAACAGAATTCAGGATGCTCACTGATGCATATCTGCTGCGTCTCGTGCGTAAGGGCGATTGGTTCACATCAATCGACCTGAAAGATGCGCGTTTTTACATTCCAATATATTTTCCACACAGAAAGTATTCGAGGTTCGCTTTTCGGGTTATCTGTTACAAGAACAGAGTGCTTCCTTTCGGCCTGTCTTTCAGTCCGCGAGTGTTTGCACGATGTACGCCCCATTAAGACAGCAGGGCATTTGTCTGGCAACGTATTTAGACGACTGGCTCCTTCTGTCAGAGTCGGAACAAGAGGCTATTACGCAGACGAATATCGTTGTGAAACACCTGCTCGACCTGGGTTTCGTAATAAACACCGAAAAGAGCATGTTGTTGTCCCCAGCTCAGACTGTAATCTTCCTGGGCTTATGCCTGAGTTCAGTGTCTTTCACAGGCCGTCTGTCAGCGGAGAAAGTGAAAGCCTTAAGGGCTTGCCTCGCGCATTTCCGGCTACTCAAATATAATCTTTTCAGATCATGTCTGCGGTTGCTGGGGCTCATGTCGTCAGCCGTCCTGGTAGTACGACTGGGACGCTTATACATGAGGGATTTCCAGCACTGGGTAGCTGCCCTCAGACTGGACCCCTTGCGCCATGGCTCCCGGAGATGGATACTGTGGAATGGGCGATGGCACTGCGCCACTGGCTGCCCCCGGCTTTCCTGAAAGAGGGCGTGCCTATGGGCACTGTCTTAGACGCAAGTCTGTCGGGCTGGGGTGGAGTATACAAGGGTCGATCTGTGAGGGGTCTCTGTAGCAGATATCTCTAGCGGTCACATATAAACTATCTGGAGCTTTTAGCGTTGTTTATCACCCTAAAATGCTTGCTGCCTTTTCTCAGAGGACATCATGTCCTCGTGAGAACGGACAACACGACCTCAGTATTGTATATAAACAGTCAAGTATATAAACAGTCCTGTCAGTTACACACGCTGGCACGCAAACTGATATTATGGAGCTGTCTAAAGAGTTTGGTGCAGCGACCAAGTCTTTGTATCAAAGATGGCAAACCATTTACCAGGGAGCGGCTCTCCCACTGGATTGTGGGAGTGATAGCTCTGGCTTATACAAGTCAGGGTTTGCAGGCACCAACGGGCCTGCAGGCTCATTCTACTCGTGGCCTGGCTACTTCCTGGGCCTTTTTAAGGGGGTTTCCATCCAGGACATTTGTGCAGCAGCAAGCTGGTCTTCACCTCTCACTTTGTCAGTTTTTACAGATTGGATATCTCTGCTCCAAGGGTGGCCCATGCAGTGCTGGGCTCAGGGCCCGTGTTGGGATGGAGTTCTACCTGTTGACACCTCTCTGCTGAACAACCTCAATGGCTTCTTTGCACGCTTTGAAGCACAGAACAGCACACCTGCGCAGAAAACAACGCCTCCACCCAACGACCAGGCTATCTGTCTGTCCCCAGGCAGTGTGAGGAGCACACTGTTAAGGATTAACACCCGGAAAGCCTCTGGGCCTGACAACATTCCTGGTCGTGTGCTAAAGGACTGCGCTGCTGAGCTCACAGATGTCCTCACAGATGTCCTCACAGACATCTTCAACATCTCCCTGAGCCAGGCTGTTGTTCCCTCGTGCGTCAAGGTAACCACCATCATACCTGTACTGAAGAAGTCATCACCTTCCTGCTTCAATGACTACCGTCCCGTATCGCTGACTTCCACCATCATGAAGTGTTTTGAGCGGCTAGTCATGAAGCAAATCAAATCTGACCTCCCCCCCTCGCCTGCTGTGGAGCAGGTGAGCTATACCAAATTCCTGGGGGTACATTGTGAACACTGCTGAGAGGATCATTGGTGCCTCACTCCCATCACTCCTGGACATTTACAACACCCGCCTCACCCGCAGAGCACTCAGCATCGCTGGTGACCCCACCCATCCCTCCACCTGCCTCTTCACCCTCCTGCCTTCAGGGAAGAGGTTCCGCAGCCTGAGGTCGAGCACCACCCGACTAAAGAACAGGCTGAACTCCCTCCCTCTCTCCCCCCTCTCCCCACTGGACTATAACTCCCCACACACTCAGACACTCCAATCCAGCAACAGACACTTTTTTTTGACGTTGCTATGGACAATCTTCCAATAAATGCACATTCTAAGGACAATCTTACACTAATGTACATTCCCAAAGATATTGATATTGAAGTGACTGTTATTTTGTATATATTGATTGTTGTGTTTTTTATCTTAATATGTGCATATGTGTAAATGTGTCTGTTGATTGTGTATATAGGATATACATATTTTATACATATGTGTATACATATCTGTATATTGTATAATTGTATTTTTGTATTCGGGATTGTTGGAAACGTCATTTCGATCTCTTTGTCTGTACACACAAACTGAAAGATTGACATTAAAGTTGACTTTGAGTACTGGTGATTTTTCGATATAAGCATGTCTGGCAATACGGGAGTCTCCATATCCCATAGTGAGATATTGAAACAAATGTTAAGAATGAGAACTATAGGTTGTGAGTGAGATGCATCACCAGACAGCCCTTCTTGCTGAGGCGAAGCGAGATGCTTATTTTGAATGACGCTGTGCTGTAGCGCAAGCTACTTTAAGGGTGGGTGGATTCCCTGACGTAGTCCTCAAGATCATCAGCCAATCAGGATTGGCGTATTGAGATTGATTCTTCTGAGGTATACACAGGGAGGCGCATCCCTTAGTGAGACATCTCACTCATGTCACTCTGAGAACCAGGGTTATGCTTGTAAACTATGGATGACTACGTGGCTTAATGGTAGAATTGGTAGGATTATCCACAAAACATGTATAGATGAGAGCAGCGCTAATGTCACTTCCAGGCGAAATTACGCCCTCGCCCACTGTCCAGTGAAAGCTACGGCGCAAAAACCCAACAAATAAAGGAGGAGGAGGGGTCTACTTTGAATTTTGTGTTGACAAACTGCAGCCACACAATATTTAATGTATTGGGCAGAATCTGAAAATAACAAGGCTACATTTCTAAATGTTTATTAAGTGTAAATAGGTGTTCGGCTCTAAATCCATTCAGTAATAAATCGTAAAACAGTTGAATCTTGTGTGTGATGTGCTACAGGGTAGGATTGCTACGCAGTGAAGACATAATCAGTACCTGGATTGTTCTTTTAATTTCTTGTGGGTTTTAGAGTGAACCTTCAGCCTCCAGCCGCTCTCTGGAGAACTGTTCTGCTCCAGGAGCATCAGCAGTGCCGTCAGTCGATCTGCATAACAACATCAGTTACATAAACACAAACAAGTGCTGCATTTGCCTTTTCACTCACATAAAGCTGAACAACTATAACCTGAAATAGGACGATCAAAATAAGTCAAGAAAAAATTATCCGTTACAACCATCTAAAAATATAATTTGTTGGACAATGCTTTTGGTTTGCTCATCCTTGGTTTACCGTGAGTGATGAAGTCTGGATTGAGGATTAACTCGTCGGAAATGATGCATCCTCCAGAAACAAAAAGCTCGTTGTAGCTGTTATTCTTGATGTCGTCCAGAGTATCGATCCCCACAAACACCACAGAGTCTAGACGCTTCAGAGACACTAGACCTGGGATCTGTGGAAGTAAAGTAAGAATCGTGAGAAAAGTTTATACATTTTCACGACTTCCGGTATGAGGTGTGCCGAGTAGACGCGTGCTCGACTGGCTCTAACTTTTCCACTCTTATTTACCTTTTAAACCTCGTCTTTTTTCAACATAATTAGTTTGCAACAGTTTTATAAGCCAGTGTTAACTACAAAGACCTCCGGCAATGTCGAAAGGAAAGGGAAAACAAGCTGCAAAGGGTCTCCGTCAGCGTCGACTCCTAGCATAACTTTGGCTGACATTAGCTTGCTGCTGGATGAACATAGAGCAGCTCTCACGGCTGATTTCAAATCCTCATTTGAGTCTCTGACATCTACATTACATTACATTGCATTTAGCTGACGCTTTTATCCAAAGCGACTTACAATAAGTGCATTCGACCAAGAAGATACAAACTAGAAGAAAACAAATATAAGTACATCAGGTTTCATAGAGACAAAACATTTCAAGTGCTACTCAACTGGCTTTAGATAAGCCAGTCCTTTATTAGTATATAAGTGCTTTAGTGCGGGGAGGGAGAAAAAAAGCCACAGCGGAGAATAAACAGAAGGGTAACCATGGTAACCATGCGCGGGAAGTCTTCTTCGCTGCTTTTGTGGCAGACTACAGCGCCACTTACAGGCCTGGCATATGTACTACAGCGTCTCCAGCGCTTTCGAGCGGCAATGGCCGGCCGTGGCCCAACCCCACATTCCCCTGATAGGTGGAGAGTTGGCCCAATAGCCGTAGCGCCACTTCTGTGACGTCATAGAAGTGTTCAAATCTGGATCAGTCTGTATCAGATCCGTTGCAGCCCCTTTTTTAGAGATTTGGGTATGGAGGAAAATAGAGAGGGTTGTGTTTTCTGACACTTGGTGAGTTCCCTGGAACACCGGGGACACATATTCATGTATAAAAGACGTACAAAAGTGCATTTTGCATGATAGGTCCCCTTTAATTTTTGTTTTCTTATCCTTTGCCTGTGGGCTGCTTCTAGACTTAATATATTAAACTCGGTCTCACGCCACACCTTTTCTCTCCCTGTTGCTTGTCAGCAGGCGGGGGGTGCCAGGTATGGGGACAGGGACATGCAGGTACACCACCTGCCCAGTACCATTTTATGCTGAGCTCTAACTCCTTAACAGCACCAAGTGATGCTTTAAGATTTACTAGTTGGAATGTCAGGGGCCTGAATTCTTCTGTGAAACGTAACAATGTGATTAACCATTTAAAAAGTTTAAACACTAAAATGGCCTTTTTGCAAGAAACCAACCTCCAACCATCAGACCATCTTAAACTTCGCAGAGGGTGGGTGGGCCAGCTTTACCATTCTTCTTTTTCGAGCAAGGCCCGAGGCGTTGCAATTCTTGTTCATAAATCTGTCCCATTCTCTGTGTCCAATGTTATATCAGACCCAAATGGCAGTTTTATTATCGCAATATGTGGCAACAATCTGACGTTGTCGAACGTGTATGGCCCGAATTGTGACAACGAGGACTTTTTCAGAAATTTTCTTTTCTCCATTCCTGACATAAATTCCTGCCAGCTCATTCTGGGAGGTGATTTTAACTGTTGTATTGATCCTTCACTTGATTGTTCTTCTAACAAGCCCTCTTCCCCATCCAAATCTTCCAAAGTTATTCAACTGTTCAAGGAGCAATACGCAGTCTCAGATGTCTGGCGCTTTTTGAATCCTAGTGCCAAGCAGTTCTCCTTCTTTTCTGCTGTTCATGGTACTTTCTCCCGAATTGATTTCTTTCTTATTGATAACAAATTGCTCCCCTCTGTTAGCTCGTGTTCATAAAGCCCTATAGTTATATCGGACCACGCAACTGTCATTGTTGACATCTCTCTTCCCGGCAGGTCCTTGTCACGTTCCCCCTGGCGCTTCAATTCACTACTACTTTCTGACCCGGTTTTTATCAAAACTATTAGGAATCGCATTGACCTTTTTATTTCCACTAATGTTAACCCGGCTGTATCTGCAGCAACAGTTTGGGAAGCGTGCAAGGCCTATCTACGAGGGGAAATAATATCCTATTGCGCTTACCAAAGGAAAATCAATACTGAGAAGAGTATCTGCCTCTCCAGGGGCTTTATCGGATCTGCAGACAAGATGTGTAGACTCCCCCAGTGCAGATCTTCTCAAAGAATGACTGACAAAAAAGGCTGAATTTGACATTTTGGCCTCAGAAGAGGCAACAAAATCACTTTTAAAAACACGCCATAATTACTACGAATTCGGAGATATATACAATATATATATTGTATTTTTTTATTTCTTTTTATTTCATTATTGTCTAATTGTAACTGATGTATTGTTTATTGGGGTTGTTTTGTTAGTAATCGCAGGGTTAATGTAATGTATTGTATTGCTGCTGTCTCTGTGTATTGAAAATCTCAAAAATAAATCATATATATAAAAAAAAAGTTTATACATTTTCAGGGGTCAAATATATCATTTAAAATAGCCTTTACATTTTTTGGACAGGCTTGTTACATTGTGATACTTAGGTTAGGTTACTGATTACATTTTATTTTACAGGAAACTGGTAGCGGAATACATTTTTAAAGTAACCTTCCCTCAGGAGGTACCTTGTGAATGTGTCCAGCTATGTCTTGGTTCTGAATGACCACCAGCAATCTGTCTGCAGCATTCTCTTGGTTCAGAAAAGCCATCGGACTCTGCTCCGCGTTCCCCTGCTTCAACAGGTTTGCCTACAACAGAAGAGAACACATACACACTGTATACACAAAATAATAATAACATCAATAAGGGAGAACCTATATTCCAAGAGCATCTGATAAAACAGTAACTAGATGTCAAATAATGTTCATGAATCTCTGCCATTGATTTCCAGTGTGAACCGAACCCCTCAATCGGGTATCAGCTGCTTAAACACATTTTAAGTGTGCAGCCCATGAGCTTACCTTGACCTCTTGATGGACCTGGTCCCCCGGCTCGATGCTGTGGAGGTAGAACTGCAGGGAGTTTCTCTTCACTTCTTTGATGATCTTCACCAGACTGTTAAAAACTTCCGGCTGCAGCTGGCTGATCAGGGAGCTCAGTGCTGAGGCCGGGGGGGTGGGGGTGGGCCCGGGGACGGAGGCAGAGACTGGCTCAGAGACACAGCTGAACCCTGGCAAACTCCCCTGGTACTTTGTACCTGCAAGACCTCTCCCCCCCATCTCACCACTACAGTGCTCAGTCCAGTCCTCTTGTGTTTGTCTGATGTTATGAGTTCTATTGATCTCTAAACTGTGACTCTGCTGTTTCCAGTGGGAGTGTGGGGGCTTGTTAGGAGCAGGAATGAGGACAGAAGTGTTAGCCGGCTTGTAGGCAGAATCAGACTGAGAGGTAGTAACAGATGAAGAGACGTGAGACGGCAACATGGGACTGATGTTGCCTGTAGCATCGGGAACATGCTTAGGGATTGTGTGCTGCTGCCACGGATCACTTCCTCTGGAGAGTGCAGGGTTGGTACTGACGTCAGCGGCTGTCAGTTCACCAAAGATACCGTCATCTTCTCTACTCGTTGGAGCTTTAGATGCTCTGATGCTGGACACAAACTCACTAACTCTGCTTGCTAGTGTGTCATCCACATTAGTCCTGCTGCTGCCGGGTTCGTGGCTCGGGCAGGTGTCTTCAAACTCAGTTAGCATGCTGTTGATGCCGTGCCTTAGTGAGCTAACGTCGTCCTGTACTGGGGGGCAGGGGTTGTAGAAAGACACATACTGTGAAAACTGAGATATTGAGGCGTGTGGGAGTGTGTGTTGAGGTGCGGAGGTTTCTGTGTTGGAGGTGGAATGTGGGGATTGTGGGAAGCTGTAATGAATGCTCTGTTTCTGCAGGAGGAGCTGTATCTCAGAGGAGAAGTCGCCCAGCTGTTTTTCAACGACGCTGTCAACGATGCTGTCAAGACAAGTAGGAGGTACGGAGACGTGTGGAGAAAACAAAGAGCCACCTACAAGGTCCTTCACTTCCCCCACTTCCACTTCCACATCCATACATTCCTCCTCCTCCTCCTCCTGGTCTTCTTTCACTCGCTTCTTGAGAATATTAACTGTTTCTACCTCCTCTGAAACGTCTGCCTGTACTTCCTTCACTTCCCCTTCTCCATCCGGCTGAGTTGGGGGTGGTGACGGGCTCCTCCTCCTCTCTGGTGCTGGAGGTACAGATGGCTGGATGGATGCAGAAATAAATGGCTCTTCATTCTTCTTTTCCTTTCCCTGAGGTGTCTTTTCTCTGTCCTTATACGGCCCTGCAGGAGGCAGAATACACAACAGAGACATACTGAGTAAAGAAAGTATATAACACATTAATTTAAGTAGGTGGAATGGATGAGGGGGGAGTCGGAGAGAAACTCCCTCTGGAGGAAATGTTGGGATTTTAGCAACAAATGTTGAAATATTTCATATGGCCAATATCAACCAAATCCAGTTAAACAGATTAAAACTTGAGCATGTGTGAAGTTACCTGCAGATTCCCTGGAGGGGGGGTGGGCGATCGGCTCCACGTTAGCACATCTGTGGTTGCTGTTAAACTGGCTGAGGTCATTAGGCTCCGCTGGCTGGCACCAGGAGGGGAGGGGGGGGGCGGCCAAGGAGACGAGGGTCCAGACGTTGTGTAGGTCTGCGTTGTGGAGAGGGGCATTTTGGGGGAGAGGGGGGAGGGCTGGGCTCCGGGGACGGGCATTGAGACGGGGAGGCGGGCGGACTGGGCTCTGGAGACGGGCACTGGGAGGGGGAAGGGGGGGGGGCTGGGGTCTGGTGACGGGCACAGGGAGCTGGAGTGAGGAGGGCTGGGCTCGGGGGATGCGCATCGGAGGGGGGAGGGAGGAGTGCTTTGCCTGGGAGACGGGGAGGGGCTCTGCCTGGGGGGTTTGCTGGTTGTGGTGATCCTCGTTGCCGTGGTGAGGTGATGGAAGCGAGGGTCCTGAGGGAGTTTTCTGTCTCTGTGGGTGTACCGTGAAGAACTTAGCCCTGCAGAGAGAGCAGAGTTTACATCAGATTTGTAATGCTGGTCACTGCTAGGCAAAATGTTATTTATATATATAAATCCAATCCAATTAAACATGTTAAGGATGAAGTTGGAGTTTGTGAGATTTGGTGTACTTTGGTGCAGGCTACATTTATAAAGTTTCTCCCTTTTTCATTTTTCTCATTTTCCTTATTTACTACATTTACATGCACAGTCATTTTCAACTATTATTGCAAATATGACATATTGGGATATGAAAATGCGTGCGAATGCTGTAAACTGTGTACATTTGTTGCTGAAAAAAGGAGAATATTTTATTAGCTGAATTGTCTCTGTCGCTGCTTTTAGCTACAAAAACCAAGTCAGTGTGTTGCTGAACTTAGCGGAGAAATGCAGAAAAGTGAAATGATTTGAATCAAAATTGTTACAGCTCAAATGCATTGCAATGACTTTGTTGAAAACTTGAAAGTGAAATGTTAAACTGGAAGAGTAGGAAAAATAGTGAAGAAGCTTAATTTAATCGGAATCAGTATCGGCCGATACCGATCGCCGATCCGATCGAGTGGGCGGGGCCTAAATGGAAGATTTAAACATCACTTTAAATCTTCCATTTAAAGTGATGTTTAAAACTCAGTTAATGGGGCTCATTCACTGGAGCTTCCACAAACAACAATCAACTTAATTATTACATTCAAATTATGTATATTATTCAAGTTTACATTAACTTTGGATAATACCACGGGAGAAATGAGCGGAAGCGCTCTCTCCCTCTCTCTCCCTCTCCCTCTCTCTCTCTCTCCCTCTCCCTCTCCCTCTCTCTCTCCCCCTCTCTCACCCCCTCTCTCCCTCTCCTGACAGCCTGTCAGTATCGTCTCATGCAGCTCGCTGATCCAGTAATGAGCGACCCGACAGTGAAGAATAAACATATTTATAACTAGTTTAGCTTGTTCCAGAGGTAGATAAAATAGCTAAGTGTGTTAGGTCTAACTCTTGTGTGTTTCGCTCCGCTCACCGGTCCGTCACAGCGGGTGGAGCTGCAGGATTTCTGCTTCACACACACGTTGCATACCGCTATTTTACTGTCTTTTTCGGACACCTTAAAATAATGCCAGACCGGTGAAGCCATTTTGGCGAGCTTGTTTTGCCGCGTACAGAGAAAAGTGTCATGTATTTTACGTCATGCGATCGGCCCTCGCGATCGGCATGTTTAGAGAGCACCGATCGATCGGAGCATCCCTACTCAAGAGGCATTTTGTTGAATTCTTTTGCTTGATTTTTTATTTTTTTTCAACCCAAGAGAGGTTTTCCTACAATTCAAGCATAAAATGATGTCCCAGGAGTGTAGGGTTTGGGAATTATGGCAGGTTTAAAACATTTTTTGGGGTGAATTTCAAGCTCTCCTCCACTCTGTTTTGAGATCAAAGCACTCTAGACTTAACGAGCTGCGCAATACACACTAATGTTAAAATCTGAAGAAGGCCTCTTTACCAAGCTCCAAACTAAGTTAAATATCTCAAAAAGTGTAAAAGATATGCAAAATCTGAATAACAAGTTGTATAGCTGACTAGCTGAATGTCTTGATCATTTTAAAGTTGGAATGAAGTCTGTAGCTGAAAGTATGTGGAAGGAGTAGCATTTGGCGCACGGTGTAGTTAAAAGAGGATTTGAAGGTTCCTCCCATTGAGTTACATGTTAAAAAAAGAGTCTAAAAAGCTGAATATTTCAAAAAGTATAAAATATTTTGAAAAAGTTGAAAGTTTCCCATCATGTGCTGAAAAGGCTGAATATTTTTGATATTTGAATGGTTTCTGTAGCTGAAAGTAGGCTGAAGTTATCGGACGGCAAAATATTGGTTGAAATAATAATAATAAGATATAAAGATTTGAAGAACTATAGTAAATATTCCTTTTAGATGTTCCAAATTAGGCCTTATTCTGAAAGTAGCAGTGTATGGTTAAAACAAATGAGAACGCCAACATTAGCCATTATTTGGGTTATAGGATCATTATTCAAGCATGTATACAGCATATTTGGAATATGCGTCTACATTTGGTCTATACCGCAGTTAGCAACACACACAGTTTTGTGCATTGAACACAAACTAACTAGTGTTCAACACTAGCATAGAGAATGCAGAAAAGAAAACATTTCTAGTCAGAAAGACTTAAATATCACCAGGTTTACGGATTTGCACAAATATTACAACGCAAACTTTTCGAGAAGGTAGTTGGGGAAAGAATGAAGGAGGATGTGTAAACGGGAATATAAGAGAAGTCATTATCCATGTTAACAGGTAAGCCTTGGCAGACAGACAGACCTGTAATAGGGATGAGAACCCACGGGATCTTGTCCTGTTCCTCCTCTTCCTCTTCATATCCCCCTGCCCTCTTCCCGAGCCCCCCTCCTCTTCCTGCTGCTCCGTGGTGATTCCCCTCCCCGCTGTGGGAGCCGGGACTGAATCCCTCCGAACTACTGATGCTGCCGATTGTCTGCTCCTTCACACACACACAAAGAAACAAAAATGCGCATTAACCTTACCTGCTCCTTTTTAATTTACTTAACAATTAATAGGCAAAAAGTGCCTGAATAAGTTAAATTGGAGTTTAAAAACATCTATCAATAATATCAATTAAAATACAATTCAGCTGTTTCTATTTAAATGCCATATAAACTCTAGAGAAAGAGTTGCCTGTAAAACATGCATGTATACTGTAACAAACTGTGCCTTAAATATTAAATTTTCTTTGTTATAATTAATTTACACATTTATTTTTTTATGTACAATTTTTGTCATTGAGGTTCTTCTTAAAATGTGTGACACGGGCATATGTTCAAAAATCTTTGTTTTAAAGATTGATGAGGCCTAATGGTTTTTGAATTTTATGTATTCATTTATTTTATACACAGAATGAGGATTGTACTTTATCTACTATATTGAGAGTAGATGAAGGAATCATGTCACCACTGCTGTGGTATTTATGAGCATTATGTAGCTAATGTATTATGATAACCTTTTTAAATAATCCTTAAATATCATTTTGGTGCCAACATCATTTACCTTTCGTAAAAAAGGTGTTTGTTTGAAAGAGGTATTTCTATGTAAGAATGACAACATATATTAAAATCTATATGTGGCTTCTTTTTTTGAAAAACAGTCATCTTTAAACTGTTACCTCCAGCTCCTCCTGATCCCTCAGGTCGATGTCACAGTAGGTGGGCAGACCCAGTTCGGTGGCCAGCCTATCAAAGGGATAGGGTGTCTTCTGCACCGCCTCCTGTACTTCACTCTGATTGGATGTTCCTCTTGCTGCCTGTGTGAGGCCTGTATGTTGGAAAGGATCAATCATTTAAAAAAAGTTTTGTATTTCATCAGGAGTTTTCAAAATGTTGTTAGCGTAACATTATGCACCGATTGCAATTTCTTTGGCCAATTCCGATTACATTTTTTCAATGCAACTGTACTTCTGAGAAAAGATTAATCTATAATGTCTTTGTAGGCCTATTATAGAGAGTTCCTTATTTATTTTCAGTGTAAAACTACATATTTCTCCAATCATTTATTCATTCAAAACTATTCTTCAACCAGTATATATTTACAAGAAAGCTAAGGTGTGTGGATTATATTATCTATAAATATATGAACTATATTAATCCAACTGTATTATATTCGCTCGCCAAAGAGAAGATATCGTGCAATTACTAAGAGCAGCAAGCTTAGCAATGAATTACAACATCATTGTCTGAATAAGTTATTAAAATATTGATAACTGTTTTTCAGAAAAAAAATAAATGGGCTGAAGACGTTCATAAAAGGTTACACATTTAAATGAGGGAGTCTCAAACTTTGCAACACTAAGTGTGTGTCGGCGTGCCAATAGTGGGTTAATGTGTGTGCATTTGGTTATTTAGGACGGGAAACTTCATACATGTCATGTCATATCAGCATGAGCACGAGTCCCTCATATGCCAGATTGAACCATACTGTACAAGCTAATATTCTTCTGCAGTCCTTGGTAGGTTGACGGCCATAAAAAGAAAACACAAAGCTTAGTGAAGAGCATGCGTTTAAATTTGAGCGGCAGAGATTTTGCTAAATCTGATGTGGTCATGGGAAATCAAGCTGAACGTTTATTGATGAATCTATAATCATAAACATGTGTGCTAACTCTTGTTTAGATTGAACAACTTAAGGAAACGGTCAAATAAATGTAAAAGGATAAAAAAGAAAAGGATATAAATGAAATATGATATGCTGGAAAAAGTTGTAATGTATATGTAGAAGAAGAAAGTCCCAGTATTCAGTCACCTTTTAGCATCGAGAGTAGTCTAGTAGCTAATTCAGATCCATCTTCCCTCAGATCAACGTCCTTCAAACCTACCGAACCAATCACAGACGCAAGAGAGCCAGGGGGGGCGGGAACATGGCTTCCCTCAACTAGGAGCCCAGAGCGGGGAGGAAACATTAAACACAGTAAGCAACAGGTTACCCAATGACTGCAAGATAACTACAAATGAAGACGAGTAAATCATCTATTAAGGTGTATTAAGGCAGAAAGCAAATCAACAGTAGAGGAAAGCAAATGTGAACAAAGTCGATGAAAAGCTGCACATTTTGGCGATGGTGAAGAAAAGACAGAAATAATAACCTCCGCTGACATTTGCGGAAAGCAGAAATTCATAGAATGCATAAAGAACAGGGAATACTATGTCCTGTCAAGTAGTTAGATGTTCCCTCAGGATAATAAAAAGCTAGTTTTAAAGAAACCTCCTGTCTCCTCACCGGGAAACTTGCTGTGTCTTCCGGGTTCCTGTGATGCCTTCAGGAACTTTAGTGTCCTCTCTGCCGTCTCCCGTTCCATTTTCCTCTTCCTCCCGTGTACCTTCACGCCTCCTTCTCCTCCCTCCTTTCTCACCACAGTCTCTGCTTTTCTCTTGCAGGTCAGAACCAGGTCGACCATCTGCTGCATCTGAGTGGCAAAGAAATCACGTGTTCAGTTCAATACTATAAAGGCCAACATGACACAAATAAATATATAACAATAGAATTAAGGGTTTCTAATTAGTGTCTATTATGTCATACTAACAACATATTAGTAAAGAATTGTCAACACTATTATATTTTTTATAGTCAAGGTCAGATTCCTGGACCGGGTCAGGTATTCTGCAAAAAAGTTAGGAAATAAATATATTTCAAAATGAATTCAAAAGCACGGACAAAAAGGTACTAAATGTTCAATGTTTGTGTTGTTATTTCTGAAAATATCTGAAATATAATGGTAGCGTTAAAAAAGGGAAACAAATGATATAAAAAGGTACAGGCAACACAGGTGGGAGAGTAGTTAGTGTTTATGGTCTAGCAGAAGTCCAGAGAAAGCTTGTCATTTATTTTCTTTTTTTTAAACATTATTTAGTGATTCAGGAGCAGAGGATTCAACTTTAAATATGACACAAATAAAGGACTTTTATATTAGTGACTGTAATAACAGATTGGGTCACTCAACTTATATTATAGGGTGATGTTCCAATTTAACTTTGAGATAATTGTTGAGAACAGTTCTTATACGGTACTGAGACTGGCTCTGTGCAGGTGTCTTTTGTTTTAGACCAAATGTCAGTTTTCACCTTCTGAGTGTTGGTCTGTCCCTCTCGAGAGTTGCTGGTCGCCTCCTTCCCTATCACCTCTCTGTGGCCTCCAAGGCTCCTCCTGAACTTGGCCTCCTGAGGCTCCTCGGGGCTGCAGTGCGCCTCCACCATCTGTTTAGCCCGGGCCACAGACAGCAGGTGCAGGGCGGGGGTGTACAGGTAGGAGCGCAGGTAGCCCTCCATGTTCACCCGGTGTTGTTTGGGAGCAGGAAACAGCTTCCTGCACTCATCCAGTTTGGAGTCGTACTCGCCCATCGGGTACTGTCGAACCTGGAGGGCAAAGACAGAAATATGTGCTTTAGTGTTATGATTGAAGGGAAAATAAGATAAAGTATTTACTTAAAGTGGACCTATCATGCTATATTATAATAATATAGTGTAGGACCATACCTATATAAGGCATATTTATACTTTTTCTTTTTCAAAATACCAAACAGATCATGCATTTTAGCCATGCCTCATTTCGCCCTGTTTTTGCAAGCGCTGATTATGTGAGAACAGCACCACCTACAGGCCTAGCATATGTACTACAGCGTCTCCAGCGCTTTCGAACGGCAATGGCCGTGGCTGTCTCCTCCTGATTGGTGGAGTTGGCCCAATAGCCGTAGCGCCACCGTCCTGACGTCAGGACAGTGTTCAAATCTGGATCAGTTTTTATCAGATCCGTTGCAGCCCCTTTTTTAGAGATTTGGGTATGGAGGAAAATAGAGAGGGTTGTGTTTTCTGACACTTGGTGAGTTCCCTGGAACACCGGGGATACATATTCATGTATAAAAGACGTACAAAAGTGCATTTTGGATGATAGGTCCCCTTTAAATAACTAATGATACCTGTGTATTACTGTAAAAAAACATTTTCTACAGGAGGGTAATAAGTTAATGGCTATTAGGAGAAGAGGGAGTGAAACCAGTTACGTCCACATATCTCTCTGTGAGCCAGAGAAGGAGAATATGGTGATAACTGAGAAGTGTTCTGAAGTCAACGGAAAAAGAAGTGAGGAGCCCCAGCAGACTTGTCTATAACTGATGATGTGTGTGTTGTACTTCATCTACTCTGCATACTAGTTTGGTGTTTTGTAATCAATGTGATCCAAAGTAAACCTATACACAGGGGTTTACATAACTGGTACGCAGGTACGCATGCGCGGCAAAAATCTGAATTGCGTAACGTCACTTGTGTCACTACGCGCCTTTGCGTACATCAAAACAAAACACATATTTCGTCTACACGTGTTTCTTGTCAACACTCAATGGAGTAAACTACGAGACATGTCAAAAAACCCAAAGACATTAAGCAGCTACGTTGCCGTTTCGCTCCCTGCAAAAAATCTTCGGACTTTCTGTGACTGACTGAACGTGGTGCTGGCCAAGCCGCGCAGGACATAACCGACGGACCTGTGAAGCTTTGCAGGAGGCAGAGGCTTAGATCACCGGACAACAGAGTTGGTCGCCGTGTGCACAGACAGGGTTAACGTCGGTATGAACAACAGAATTGTGCCAAAACTCCGCCAACTGGCTGCAGTGGGAGACTCCCCTGTGCACATTCTGTGCCCCGCGCACACACACTGGAGAACTGCGCAAAATCAGCTGATCACAACGTTCACGCTCTGTGGTCAAGCTGCTGCAGTTTTATTTACACCAAAGTTGCAAACTTACTCAGGGTGTTATGGAAGAGTTTGAAATCAGACAGGGGTGGAAGAAGTACTGAGATCTTGTACTTGAGTAAAAGTAGAAGTACCAGTGTTACTCTGTTACAATAAAAGTCCTGCATTCAAAATGTTACTCAAGTAAAATTAGAAAAATATTATCATCAAAATATAGTTAAAGTACCAAAAGTAAAAGTAGTCATTGTGCGGATTGGTCCATTTCAGAATAATATATATGATATGTTTTGTAATGATTGATCATTAAAGTGTTATCAAAGCTGGTAAAGGTGCAGCTAGTTTTACAAATTAGATCAAAGTCAAGTAAAGTACAAATATCTCAAAATTGTACTTAAGTACAGTACTTGAATAAGTGTACTTAGTAACTTCCCACATCTGAAATCAGATATGACTTCAAGTCATGTGATAATTTCTTAGTAGGTGATCCTTCAACTTGGCCTTAGGAAATGCAAGGACTTCACAGTTTTGGAAACAAGTTTTGGAGAAAGCAAATCAGAGGCTTAAAAAGAGACAGGGAGGTGCATCTTCATCATCTTCATCATCTATCATGCAAGAAGTGTAAATAGAGGACAGTGAAGGAGACACTGAGGAGGACCACGCTTCGTGTGGGGTGAGTACCAAACGCTGTCTCTTGGTACTCATCTGAGTAACTCACTCAAAAAGTTATGTGCACCCCTGCCTATACAGATACAATTATGATATCAGTCTCATTTTTGTTTAAGCCTGTTTAATTGAAAAGTCAGTTAGGAATCTAAAACCAACTGGCCCACTTGAAGATCTATTTATTATCTATTATTTGTCCATTAATACGTGTGCTATGTATACATTTCATTTAATATATTTTGTATATGATCATGATACTGGATGTTTGTAAGTATGCATTAATGTTTGTTTAATCATTATTTTACTTTTTTTTAAACAAATTAAATACAATTAATGTTACCTTCCCATCGGTCAGGCCGATAAGGTATTCCCGTGTGAGGTGTTCCACGCCTGCAGACAGCTCGGGGGGGTGGTTGGCGCGGGCCTTCACCAGAGCGTGGTGCAGCGCTGGAATAAACTGTGAGAGCCGTGGCATCACCGGGCTACCAGACTGTGATGCATTATGGGACGAGGAGGCACCCCTGAATGCTACAGGGAGGGAAGAAGAGAACATTTAGAGTTACATCAGAACTTCAGATTTGACCCACTGTTTAGCGTTTACGGTTTTATTCCTTTTTGCTTTTTTAAACTGGGTTTATAAATGTTGTTTATATCAGCCGGAGGTTAACTGACTGTTATATTGTGATAAAAAGGCTGTAGTTTATGGGGACAGTACAGCAGATTATTGGCAATTGTTGTTAAAGTTGCTGTTAACTCAGGGAAACTAAACACTTTTTGCAGACTTTTGTAAAGTAAGGTATAAGCAGGAACACTTTTATTGTGAAATACCTGTGCAGTAAGTGTTTTCATAGACAGTAGCTTTATTTTAAAGGGGACCTATCATGCAAAATGCACTTTTGTACGTCTTTTATACATGAATATGTGTCCCCGGTGTTCCAGGGAACTCACCAAGTGTCAGAAAACACAACCCTCTCTATTTTCCTCCATACCCAAATCTCTAAAAAAAAGGGGCTGCAACGGATCTGATAAAAACTGATCCAGATTTGAACACTGTCCTGACGTCAGGACGGTGGCGCTACGGCTATTGGGCCAACTCCACCAATCAGGAGGAGACAACCACGGCATTGCCGTTCGAAAGCGCTGGAGACGCTGTAGTACATATGCCAGGCCTGTAGATGGTGCTGTTGCTCACAGAATGAACCCTTGCAAAAACAGAGCTAACATTTTTCAAATTGAGCGAAATGAGGCATGGCTAAAATGCATGATCTGTTTGGTATTTTGAAAAAAAAAAAGTATAAATATGCCTTATATAGGTATGGTCCTACACTATATTATTCAAATATAGCATGATAGGTCCACTTTAAATAAAAAGAATGACAGAAAAGGAGAAGTAAATAAAACAGATAATTGTCTCCTAACTCTGCAGCCCTGCTCAGGTCTTCGAAACATTTGAGCCTCTTTTAGCTAATTCCTTTTCACTTCATCCTTTAGATCAGTATTTGGGGGCAGATGGGTATAGTTGAAAGGTTCTGTATTGTAAAATAAAGCAGATCAGTTACTCACTGGATTTAGACAGATCTCTGGACTCTGGGAAGACAAACAACGCCTGGAGACTTCTCTTCCAGTTCTCTTCTCTCTCTGAAAAAAACAAAAAAATCATTGTTATTCCTATTCTTCTGACCTACAACCAAAACAAATATAACTTTCCTTGATACATCTGGCTCTAAACAATTCATTGACACACTTGACATTCATATTTTTTAAAGCTATGATGATATAGTTTGAAGCCAAGCTGTTTTAAAAAAACATACCAATTCAAAGAAAATATAATCCCACAATGTTTTTGATGTTATATCAACCACATCTCTATCTGTATATATTTTTCTCATGCTTAATTAAATGTTACTGCAAAATGATTTTTTTTAAATTAACGGTGTACTAGCAAAAGGTCAAAGTGGAATAATAGACATAACTTCTCCAATATTTTCCCAACCTTATTTACAAGTTCACCAAACCACATCATACCTGGGGGCGTGGCCATCTGAACACTGGATAACAGGAGGAGAAAGCCTCTGTCTGACAGTGCAGTCACCAGAACCTGAGGGGAAACAGACGACTGTCATTATTTCACTTTTTATTTTAAAGCAGTTCTCCTTTAAATTACTTTTTTCTAATTGATATATATTGAAAGTCGGGAGGTAATAATCCCCTGTGGAAGATTTACAAACATCAATATCTTTTGAGATTGTGACACAAGTTTAAAGAGGCCCTTTTATGCTTCTTGGCGTTTTCCTTTCCTGTAGTGTGTTATACCAGATCCTGTTATTTCCCAAAGGTGTGGATTTCCTGTTAAAATAAAAAAGGTAGAAAAAAACTCACCACTCTCTTCGTCTCCAGCTCCTGAAGCAGTATGGTCACGCTGGTTGTAGACCGATTTCTGTCTGTCACCTCCAGAAGACTGCAGCAATGACCGCTATTCACAACTACACACACAAAAAACACAAAATACTTTTGATGATACCAATATTACCTTTTTATCTGCATACTTGCAAAGAACAATTATTTCAATAATATTCTGCTTCAATCCATATTTGTTTGTGTTTAGCTTCTAAAAACAACATTTTAAGTGCAATTAAAAACGTTGTGACCTCTCACATACATACTGAGAAGTTATAAAAAGTTGATTTAATTTAAAAGAAGTCTAAATTAATATGATACATCAAATTAAGGATTTTTTTAAGGTCATATGTCGTCAAATATAATGACAGACATTCGATAACCTCAATAGAAGCTTTGATTGTAAAAAATATATGAAATTGGCTACAAAACTTGATAAATAGACACGACAGTGATGATTAAAAACAAATCGCAAAGGAATACATATTCTGCTGTCTTCTAATATTGTACATGCAGGTTCAGGATTGATGATAACTTCAATTTTGAAAGTTTTAAGTGAAGTTCATCATGTGTTGCGATGTTGGGGGAGTCTGGGACTTATAATGTTCATTGCCAAAACTACGGAGTATCCATTGTGCATATGACAAATAAAGCCTTTGAATAATTGAATCCTTTGAGTCAGCTGCTGTTTGGTCACTCTGAGTGTTAATCTGGCCTCACCTTGGTGGCTGCTGCTGTACAGGTTGTAGGAGAGCAGGTCAGAGGGCAGGTACCTGGTCAGCTGCTCCAGCGTCATTACACAACCCATTTCCAACTTCTCCGGTCTGAAGGAGACACGAGGGGAGACACACAGAGCAAAATCATCTTAACATGTGACGCACTGGTCTAACCTGTATTAAAATTATAAGAAAGTTACTTCTAGTTGGGAGTTGAACTCTGACAAAAAAATCTAAAGGAGGTTCATAGATCATCCTTCACCCATTTGATTTACACCATTACAAAATTCTACTAACCAAAAATGCATTTTCTTAACATTGGTTTAACAAATACCTCCATCAAAGTTCTAACTGTTAAGGTCCAGTTCAAATGATCAAAGTAGGGGGTGCTCCATTATGACAAAATTCATAAAGACGTTTATTTTGGGTCAGTTCACTGGGTCACTATAGAGATCACAATTATTTTACAGGAATACTTGTTTACGTTGGACAAATCATGTATTTATTGAACTTTGAAAATCATCTATTTTTCTAGGTGGATTATTTTGCTTTCCTTTTTATTGTCTAACTAGGCTCTCTATCAGTCATATTGGCTCCAGATTAACCAAACACACCAACAGGATTTAATGAGGCTGTGGTTGGTAGACTCTTGGACCCTCTGTGGAGCATTTATTTGTATTACATCACTCTGGTTCACTTGAAAGCAGAATGTATTTATGTATTACACTTCAGTAAAAGACAGGATAGGGGTCTATGTGGAGATAAAGTCATTAACATGGGGGTGTCAAGGATATCTTGCTTTTATGAGGGTCACCTGATACAGGCATGTGTTTTATGGTTTTGTTTGTTCTACTTTATTCAGCTCAATGTAACCCACTCTAGGAAGGAAGTGTGCAAACATTTAAGATCTATAGGAGCATAGAAGTATATTGTTTGTTGTGTATTTGTTGCCTTACTCATCACTCAGTAACAGGCACATATTACAAAGTATTACTAAACAGTTTAAAGAGCTGGAGAAGTCAGGGCAGTACTCACAGTCTGTGGGGCAGTAAGGGAGGAGAGAAGCAGCGGAGGGATATCTGGAAGAGAAGCCGGTCACCTTTCACCAGATCTCCGCCCCACACTGTGAACTGAGCGCGCTCTGAGAGGAACAGACGATAGCTAACAGTTAAACAATCGACTCTACATTTCTTTGTTACGCTTAATGTTTGAATCTTTTTAAGACCTTGATACAATCACATTGGTGTGTGGGACTCACCTTTACTGGCCTCTGCTGACTGACTGTTCAACCTGTCCATCAAACAAAGAGCACAAATAACATGTTGATTAGGGCAATTAGTGCTTAGAGGTTTATTTGAAAGTATTTAGTTTGAGTGTCTTCATTTAAACGTCGGGAGACCCTCAATATGCATCTGCTTATTAAGTGTTTCTGGATATTTTTATTTAGAATCATTCAATATGTTCACTTGTTTAAAACAATTGCATTTTAACTTTAACTAGATCTCCATACCTGATGGGGGCCAGAGGTTTGCTGGGAAGTGAAGAGTCTTTTCCTTTAAACAGGAAGGAGATGACGGCGTACGGACAGACCTGACGAGGGCGTGGCCGCAGCTCGTCAAAGGAATACTCGTAGAAGTATTGCTGAAAACCATAAAAAGAACAACAGTGTTCAAAGCTCAATTCAGTTCAAGGCACCTAAAGCCCTCACGCACCAAGCCACAGTACCACCAGGTGTTTCATGTGACACATTTACATCTGAGATTTAAAACACGATTAAGTTCCAATGTGAACATTACTTAAGAGCCTTATACAGGGTATAATATGCAGGAATCCTGAAGTCAAATGTAATACCTTTTAAGACCTTTTTCAAGACCCTTCCCATACATTTTAAGACCTCATCGCCACTTCGAGTTCTAACCGGTTACATTGGCAACACACTTTACCTCACATTTACTATCAGCATTGATTGTAAGATAGCACAACTAAACAGTTTATGATAACTCCTTATCATAATTCAGATAAAACAAAGCACAAGACAATGAATTGTGTGACCAACCCAATGCAAGGTTTATTAGAAAAAGAAACCATTAGAAAGTAGTATTTGGTTTAGGCATTGTTCCCAAGAGATAAAACAGACAGACTACTGAAGCCTCCTCTCCACATGAACTTCAACCTCTCTGTCAAGGTCAGGTTTAATGCAGTATGCTGCTTTTTTGCTTCTGTAGACACACTTTGTGCTCTTTCATTCCAGTAAAACTCCTCAGAAACCATTAGAAACCAGTATTTGACCAATAAACAAAACAATTGACAAAACTTTGAACTATGAAATATATTAAACTTTGGTGAGCTTCAGCGGGGTAATGCCATATAGGAGCTCCCTCACAAATACCCAGGGGTTAAATTGGGCCGGGGGCTTAGCCCTCGCACATTTGTCATATGTTTACAAAAAACGGATATATATGTTAAGACTTTTCTCGTTCTTAATATAGACTATATTTAGGGTCGATATTTGTTGACTTTACTTTAAAATAGCAGATCTCTGTGACCGGATATAGTTTGGCTTAGTGAACGTGTGTCTCTTCCTTGGAGGAGCAGCATCGCCCGGACTCCGCTGCTCCTCCGCGGCTCCTCCGTGCAGAGAGTCTGCACTGCAGCGGTGTGTGTCAGCGACGTGCAGTCAGACGGAGCAAGGCAACGAAACTTAAAATAAGAAGCAGCATTTGACGGCACGCTATGAATGGGGCCGACTTGAGGGGGTTTCCCGACATGTCGTTGCAGTAAATTAAAGGGTGTTTCATGTTTTCGTTGCTGTGGACCTTCTTAATACCTTGGAAAATGCCGTTTAATACTTTTTAATACCTTGGAAAATGCCGTTTAATACTTTTTAATAGCCTTAATTTTCGCTAAATTGATTTATCAACTTTTAATACTTTTTAAGACCCCGCGGACACCCTGCTTATAACAACGGAAAAAGCAGTTAAAAGCATTAACATAATTATTGTAACTGTCCAACAGATGAAATTTGATGTATCATTTGTATGAAAATATTTCTGTCCAAGTGTGTGTGTTTTTACCTGTGTGAGTTCCAAGGCGCGGTAGGAGGAGAGCGATGTGACTTTGCTGGCGTTCTTGGAGGTGTGGCTGTCGAAGCGAGGCGTTGGATCTAAAAGGTTTTTCATGTTTTCATAGATGCTCTTCACTTTACCCTAAAATAAAAAAAACAGATACAAATCCAAAGGTCAAAAAACTGATTATTACCATTTTGATCACTTTTTTATTTGAAACAAGACTTAACACCAAGATCAGCTAATAGCATTATTTATAGCAGATTTTGTGTCCAAAATCATTCACCATAAAGTTCACTAGTGTGTTCAAATGTCAGGACTAATATTATTAGTATACTCGTGAAACCCTAAGTATTTTCGTTAACCCCAAACGCAGCATAACAAAAAAAGGTTTGATGGCTAACCCCCCACATACAAACGGGGGTTACAATGAACAGATGAATTTGACCGAAGCATTCTTTTTTTCTCAAATGTTCTGAAGATCATCATTTGATTTGTGAATTATTTTGACCTAGATAATCGTAAACAACAGATAATGGAACAGCTGCTATTAGAGATATTTTTCTGTCCAAAGATTTGGTTAATAAGACCTACCTTTTTGAATACACGTATCTGATGTTTTTCATGTAGTCATGCTGGGGTAGGTAAAGTATTTGTGTAGATATGTGTTTATGCAAGGCTCTACACTGACAATGGCAACCAAATGCTTGGAAAACAACTAAAATGTATCCACCTGGTTGGATATCTCTAAAGGGAGGTTGGGTGTCTGACTGATGAGGCAAACTTTTGGTGACTCAAAAATACAGGCGTGAGAAAGCTATTTGAATTTGAGTTATTTTATTATCAGTAAGGTCAAAGCCAGACAGATGATGTGGCAAAGCTCGGGAGACTCATTCCCTCTTCTATTTTTTTCAGTGTTTTGAAAAAGGTGTGAGGCAAGGGACGAGGTATGAGGCGATTAATCCAAGAGTGTGTTATCGGCATTTTGTTTTTGTGGTGTTTTGTTTTTGTGGTGCACAGGCTGTTTTGTTTGCATCATCTTTGGGTTGGCGTGAACCAAAAACAGAGCATCAATATATGAGGCTCGTTTGAGATGAGCGAGACCGACGCAGACCTGCGCAATTGCGACCGCCGTCTTGCTAGTGCGTTGCATGATGGTTAGTCATTTTGTCCGACTTGCTCTGGAGGCTCGACTACATGAGATGTTGAAATCTCGCGGGACAAAGACGCCCGCAGACTTGAGAGCGAGGCGGAGCAGTTTCTCTCCACGAGCTGCAGAAGCGAAATGCTTGATGGGAAACGACTCGCTGGTATCTCGAGCTGAGCGCTCATTGGTGGTTTTTACCCCGTGCTGGAGATGAAACTCTCCATTGGCTCTGCAACAGTTTGTTGTTGTTGAGTGTCAGTTTTACGTCGCCACTTCCATTCACATTTTTCATCATTGTTCCACAATGTTTATCAACATGAAATTAATATCTATATATTTTATACTGTACTTGCACTGCTTACCGTTTTCATACTTTATATATCTTAGCATATTCATACAACACACTGTTAATACTGCTCATAGGCTACTGTGTATATAGTGTATTCATACCCCTCACTGTTTATTCATCATTCAATTCATTCTATATTTTATTCTGTAGATTGTGTACATTACTTTTCACTTCACTGCTTTTTGCACTCCTGGTTAGAAGCTAAACTGCATTTCGTTATCTCAGTACCTGTAATCTGTGCAATAACAATAAAGTTGAATCTAATCTTGAGCAGGAACAAATGTATTTACTTAGTACATATCTGACATTAACGATTAAACACATTTGTGCATTCTTTATAAATGCAAACTGGTCAAGACCACTGACGGAAGTAGTTTTGAAAAGTATATGGTTCTGTCTTTCACATGTAGGATTCAACCCCCCTTGTATTGATTTGTTTTCAAGTGAACAGACACTTGAGTCATTAATTTGTAGTGATATAATAATTGTGGGATTTCTATTGCATCCACTTCATCTGCAACGAAGAACGCCAACGCAATTTCCGCCATTGCAAACCGAGTCAAGCCGACTCCGAGCTGTCCGACTTCAGGCGAGTTTTTTGAGACCTCCCGCGGCTGCAATCGGCTATTCTCGTCTACTTTCGAGGCGAGACACAGCTCATCTCAAACAAGCCTTTTGACTCCAGATCCAACTTCATCTGTACATCCCTATAGGAGTTATCTATCAGTCTGTATAAGTTTATGTCTACTCATTTTGGTTAGTTTTTCTTGTATATCTTCTATATAGACTCCTGCATTTACTTGGTCACTTACAAAATTCTCTGCATTATTGAGCTTATTGTATTTTATTCTTTTTCTGACATGTTTATAGTTGACTTCATCTGCATTACTTGCACATTGGTCTGCAACGTAATCTAACACTATTTTTATTCTAATCTATTCTACTCTGTTTCTTCTTGCACTATTTTTAATTTTGGTAATCTGTTGTTTTATGTCCTATATAACTATGTTGCAATGTTGGAGGAGCTTGGGACTTAAGATTTTCATTTCTACACTGTAGCTACTGTACATATGACATAAAGCCTTTGAATCTTTATCGACATGAAAACAAAATAGATAGAGAAAAAAACATTTGCATTGCAACAAAGCAGGAAGCAGAAACTTCTCACTCGTTTCCTGTGTCTGACATGATTTACCTTCATCACTTTGAAGATGACGATATCCCCTGTGAACCCAGGATTTATGGGGTTGACTTGAAGCAGGTCTGAATATTTGGACAGATACACTCCTAGAGACACACACAGGAAGAACACAAATAAAATCACAGGTTCATTTCCTTTCATCTTACACCAACTTGTGGGCAAAAAGAAGGTTGATTCTACAAAAGGGTAGATTTTAGTGTTGGATGTGTTCACCAATGGAAGTTACAAATAACAATGAAACAGAGAATAAGCTGGGAATTCAAAATAAGCAGATAAAAAAATGGTTAAAACTGTGACTCCTACCTTTGGTGGGGTTTCCCAGCACTGTGATCCAACACTGACCCACCTGCAGCCCCTTCTCACACAGCGCAGGCAGCTACAACACACAAACAATTCAGAAAAGGGAGAAATTAGATTGATAGAATGGGATAAATATCGATCTTAACGATAAAGCTTGTAAGAGACAAGGATTTTCTTGTTCAGATAGTTTCCTATTCCTTTCCTAAAAACATGTGCATTTGGAGTTATTGCTTTTAAATAAGTGTACAGTTATCATAATGGTCAAAGTGGATTTTCATTGTGATTTAAATGCAGTATTATTATAATTTTTCTTGTAATTGTGTACTGTTACTTTAGGTACATGCTATGTCCATATCCTGTCAGTCATCAAGTATAAAAACCACAACGACTTAAACAAAAAAAAGACAGGAAGTTGTGTGTAATGTTAACAGCAGACTGATCTGAAGACTTTGAGAGAGATGTGTGGTGTGACTTCAGACAGTGTTAATCTCACTTTAGCATTTTCAGCCAACATGAAGCAGTAGCTCTCCTCCAGCTCCTTGTCCGTCCTTCCATCAGCCTTCATCTCCTTTCTCTTCTCCACAAACTGAAACACGCACCAACACAATCCATCAATATACAACCAGAGTACCATAGAAAACCTTAGTAAATGATTGAAGCATATCTTAGTTTGTGTTAATTCCTAATTTCTTGGTTAAAGACAAATCATTACTTCATGGTCCAATTTTATTTTCAAGACAATATATTCATCATCACTTTTACTACAAGAGCAAGGCTAGTCTAGTTATATGGCATATTCAAACAAAAAACGTGACAAAAATGTATAAGAATTATCACACAGTGCATAAGAAAAACATTATAAAACATTTAAATCTATTCCTTTTAGACATTTGAGATCAGATATAAAACACTTAAAGAGCAACTTGCAGGTCAGAGACCCCAGTGAATAAATGTGTAGGAAAATGATGTACACTAGATTTTCAAAAAAATATACATAAATATACACTACAGTGACATCTGGCGTCGTTTTTGTAAGAAATGTTTACTTCCGCATAAAAAAAGACCACCCGCGTGTGACGTCACATCAGGGAGAGCGGCCGGTCTAACGTATTAATAAACATGGTTCACAATGTTAGTTTTGACACAGAAGAGGTTGAAAATGTATATTCGTATGCATATGACGGACCACAACCTTATAATTATGAGCCTGCTAGGCGTCCAAGAGACCAGGAGCAGCCAAGGATTAGAAGGAATAACGGCCATCGGAGAGAAATGGAGCTGTGGTGTGAGGAGAACCAGTGGAGAACAGGGCAGCTGTCTTGGGGAGACTCCCGATTTCCTCCCGGGGTCATATTTATCCCGCATTTCTCCCGATTTCTGACTAAATCTGATTAGTGAGTCACGACCCGTTTCATTCTAACATAACGCTCCAAATGTTACCGTTTCCACTCGGACTTCAATACAGCTACACCATTGTTTGGTTTCCATGGTAACGCGTCTCTTTAGTAGCGCGCGCAACTGAAAGTCTGAGAGGGTATTCAGGAGGAAGATAGTCACAGAAAACAGAACAAGAATGGACAACTCTACCCTCTGCTCACTCCTTTCCTGTACATTAAACTATACAGGTCCAGCCCACACATATGACAGCGCAGTTGCTCCATCAATCCATCTCTTCTTTTTTCCTGCCCAATACGCTCTTGTTTGACAAGCTGAACGTTGACTGGTGTTTGACTGAAATAAGCGCACTTCTTTTGAACACACTGTGAAAAGTTCCAGTTATTAACTCCGGTATTTACAAAGCTGTCATCTCCACATTTGGAGAAAGTTACAAGCCGTTTGACAGCAGCAAATCTGCATAATTCACAGAAGGCTTGTTTAGTGGTTTTGCAAAGAATTAACCACTCTCTGTTTTTGTACCATTCTGCATTGAAGTACCTTTCTCTTTGCCCAAATAAGCTTTTATTTGCCCGTCTCAATGTCCCGACAACAAACCTCCATGCAGTCGGAAGCAGCCTGTTTCGGTTCAGCGCTGCCGGCGCCGGCGGTTTTGACAGTCTCTGCGGGTTGGGTTCACCTGGCTGCGCTGGTTCTGTGGTTGAAGGGCCAGGCTCCGGAGTTGTTGATGTGACATTCAAGTTGTTGAATTTCAATTTAGTTTGACTGTATTTTGTTTTCTTATGTGCCGGTTCTTCTGACATGTTTGCAAGAAAAAGGCCTTTAAAGTTTCCTCTTCTCTGGAATCCATCGATCTGATTGATTATTAGCGGTAGCCGTGTTATCTATGATTACTATACGCCTTACATTCATAATTTCAGCGGAAGGAGGGGAAGCGGCGCTGTGGAAGAGCAGAGTGGCGAGTGAGAGCTGTCATCTTCCCTTTACAAGCTTAAAAAATGCCTGTAGCTAATTGAGATTGAATATAACAATCAAAAATAACAAAATATACACAGCTAGATCAGATCGCGTTCTTTTTAGATGCGACTTCACTTTAGAGTAATGGGGAATTATTGAAACGGGATGTTTACAGTGTTCCGCGGGATCCGCTGCTGCGAAAATGTGGGGCAGGGCTGTAAAGTGGGGGCGCCAATGGCCCCCTGGCCCCCCTGCTTCCGGCGCCCTTGCTGACAGGACTGTTGATACTGATCCATAACAGAAACTAATGCGCAAGTATCAGCCGTATCTCGCGTTACCTAATGCAACTCCACACTACGTCTTTACGGTGCTGTGTACCAGAGGGGAGAGAGAGAGGAGCAAAGGGGGGGAGAGAGAGAGAGGAGCAAAGGGGGGAGAGAGATGTAATACGGTTTCCTGATAAACGTTTCATTTGATAGGTGGTTGTGTGGGAAATGCTGCAGGGGGTGGATGCACCTCGCACAACACACCCAGGAATGAAAGCTAGCTCCGGTCCTTTTCCTGTTAGGGAAACTGTGGACTCGATGTCCTGACAGGCCGGAGTTTGTGCAACAAATAGCTCACCATGATTAAAAATGGTGAAATGCAATGTAAAATTACCGAAAAAATACCAGCTCACTAAATCGCAACCGCTCAAACCAACTACAAACTACTACCGCGGATTGGGCAGAGAAGGAGTCCGAGAAATGTGCTCCCCCATGTGACGTAATATGACGCGTTTGACGTATGACGTTATAAAAAACGTTTTTAGTAGCAGAGCTCAAAACGGCTACTTTCCCCTCTGAATTCCTGCCCTTATGTCTCGTAAAACATATGAAATCCTGCATTAACTTTTTTTAAATTGTAATTTTCCGGCAAGGTTAAAGGTGGGGTAGGTAATTTTGGAGAAACCAGCCGGAGAAAATCTGCCACTTCCTTACAGAGCCCCTCCTCCAACACACACGAACGCGCACATGACCAATGAGGGCACGAGATAAGTTTGTGCACAGATGGAAGGCTGACAGGCAGGTAGGCCATCCAGTTATTTTAGCCGGGCCGGCTAAAATGATTGGTCGTGCTTTGTACAGTATTACGGCTTCCACAGATGACATTTTTTTATGGATTTTTTGTCAAAGCACTTAAGATATTCATTGCTATCGGGATGTTAAGAGCATTCCATGGAATATAACAAAAAGTGTATCTCGAGCCGGTTTCTCAAACTTACCTACCCCACCTTTAAGCATAAATGTAGTATAAAAAAAAACCTGCACGTTGCTCTTTAATATAGAATACAACACAGAGTGCTGTGTAAGATATTCAGTTAATGACTGAATAAAAGTCATATATTAATTTAACAGTTCAGCATTTTCTGTAATTTTTCAAACTAACTCAAACTATAAATCAGTAATCAAAATAGTGGACGATTACTGTTTTTCTCAGATTGACTTAAAAAGGCAATCCATTACATTATATCCATCATAAAAACTTTAGGACAAAGCACAAAAAGAAACGCATTGTAAAATGACATTCGAAGTATTCATTAAAGATCCAGAGAACAGTAATAAAATCAAGCTAAGAATAAAAGGTACAGTGCTGTGTAAGACATAAATAATTATGCGAGTTGACAAACTCCCCTATCTCTTGTACACAATTTAGTTGAAGGGTGCACATATTCTCCAAACATCGACCAGTAAACCGCACTAAAGCTACAGGACATATTTAAAGGGAAGTGCTCCTCCACACGTCTCACCTCCCTCTCCAGCAGCTCGCTGTGCACCAGCAGGGGTTTGCAGTAGGTGAAGCAGCCAGCCGAGCCGGTGTCGATGTAGCTGGAGGTCAGGATGGTCATCATGTCTTCGTACTCCCTGGACTCAGTGGAGACATCCTGGAACAGGGCTGAAGGAAAGAGGGTGGAAAATCTAGGATCAATATTTATATTATTATCTTTTCTGTTGAAATTACCATCTGTAGGGCCTTTTCCTGCCCTGTATATCCGTTGTTGTCTTTGGTATTTCCCTGTAATTTTCCATCGAAATAAACAACACAATGTTTTGTAGACTAGTGCTTCTAAAAACGCACTTTTATAAACAGGCTTTTGTGTGAATCCCTCCTGATGCACTTTTAAGTTATGTAAAGACTTGATCTGTTTGTAAATGCATCTCTGTTTATAGCTGTGTTTAGTTGTTTTTCTGTTGTCCTGCTCTTGTAATCTCTTTTATTTTTGCTGACATTTGGTTTTATGTATGCAAAGCACTAAAAATGGTTTTATATTATTGTATCATCAGCTCCTATGAAACTAAATTAAATATATATCACAATACTATTTTCCAATCGACTGACAATAATGGTTGCAAGATACACGCTTATTTCAACCGTCAATTTGTACCCAGTGTGGCCTACAGACAAATAAACAGACTCATCTGAGCTAATATTTAATTTCTGTAGTTGTTTTTTTACATCAGATTTGAAAGAAAATAAATAAATGTGCAGCACATGCTTTAATAATGTCGACCCTTTATGCATCTTTCAGGTAAGCCTCACCCACAAACAGATGGTTTGGGCATCTGGGAATCCCACAAAATAGTTGTTAGCCCCCTTCAATTACAACCTTTGAAGCCCTTTTTTGTGCTTAATAATTCTCAGGAGACCCAAAGAACCTGTGCAGCTGCCTCCTTCAGTGAGAGGGAGGGGGGGGGACTAAGCTGCAGCACCTACACCTGAGATTAGGAAGTGCAAACACTCATAAAAACGTAATAAAGCAAAAGAAGCAGGGGTGTGAGGAAATATCGATATACTTGATTAATGCGATGTTATGTTTTGTGCCACTGTACTGATTCTAGGGCTGGGCTATAGATCAATATATATTCTGTATCATCACACAAGACTAGATTTGCCTTGGTTTTGCATATTGTAATATTGCAAAAGTGTCTTCCTCATTGTAAAGGCTGTGTTACAATGAAGTGATGTTATTTTATAACTTTATAATTTGTCTTTACTCGTTAAGTCAATAAATCCATATTGCTGATGACTGATATATAGGCAGTTTACAAAATAGGTATGACAAAGTTGGATTTTACAGTGACTGTGATAAATGTAAATGAGGATCCCACTCTGAGTTGCATAAAAAAAAAGTGGATTATAGGATTTTTTGCATATGAATACGTTTTTCTATTTATACGACAGTGTTCCTATATTACGTTTTAAAAGAAGCATGATGACTTCCGGTCTGAGCGGAGCCATGTGAGTTTGCATTTCTCGAGCTCCTCGCCAGAATATTTATATTAGGCAACTACCTTTTACTACACTATATTCTAGTAACTTTAATCTAAGTTGTTCTTCCTTGCCTCCGTCCGATAGTTTCATTTGAAATATGTCGTCTTCCTCTCGCAAAAAGGCGACTGCTGCGCCGGATCCGAAAGCTAACAGTGCTAGCCCGGCTAAAGGTGCTGGGGCAGGGCCACTAGCGCAGCACAAGGTGATGAGTCCACCATTCTACAGGCTATTCAATCTCTCAGAGAAGACATGCTGAAATTGATGACAACGCCGAGATGCAGTCTAAAGAATTACGACGTGAAATAAGCAAACTGCGGGATGAGCTGAGATCCGCCATTGACCGCGTCAGCAGCCGCACCAAGGCTTTGGAGGACCGGGTCGAGAGCCTGGACACTGCCGCAACTGATCACTAGGACCTCATTACCACTCAAACGAGACGTGCAGCAGCTAAAGAAGACAATGAAAATCTTCTCTGACAGGAATGAGGACCTGGAGGCGCCGTCTAGGAGGTTCAACCTCCGCATCACCAGGGTACAAGAAAAACTGGAGGCAGGGAAGAACCCAACAGACTTTGTAGCTAAACTACTCCAGGAAACGCTGGGCTTAGAAAAAGAGCCACTACTAGACAGATCCCATCGCACTCTACGGGTACGGCCCCAGGAGGACCAGCCACCACGCGCCTTTGTGGTGAGATTTCACTATTACCGGGAGAAGGAGGCGATCCTCCGCAAGGCAGCCACGGCCACAGATCTGACAATGCCGCACAGAGACAGGATCAGAGTCTTCCCCGACTACACCCAAGCAGTCGTGAAGCAGAGAGCCGCCTTCAGGGATGTGAAAGACATGCTAAAAGGCTGTGATGGTATCAAATACAGACTGTGGTAAAGCGACACAGCTTCACAGAACCGGTTATGAAGAACGTAGCGGTGGCTAAACAGAGCGGCTAAGATGCTAGGTAAGCTGATTGACGGACTAACGCATCCTACACACGGTTCCGTTGCGAGCTTCAACGGAGACGTTGTCACGCTTTGCCAAACTGAATTGTGGTTCCGTTGCTTCGCTTTGCCTCCATTGCTTGCGGTGAAAGTTGAGAAAAGTTCAACTTTTCAAGCGTTGACGGAAGCGCCAGGAAATTAAATCATATGCCAGTACAAGCGCTAGCCAATCAAACGTGCTCTTTGTGTGTCCGGGGTGGGAGATTAATGTGATTGGTTGTTGGTCTTTAACCCCAAGCGCCAGACACGCCCACCGGCAAGCGTTGGAACCGTGTGTAGGTTACGTAATGCAGCTATAACAGGCGACGCTGGATAGCGGCGTTGACCTAGTCCCTTGTACGTATATGGGGCTGTGGGCTAGGGATTGCTACGAACGTTTGTGGTTTTCTTATTATGTAATTTAACCTGTTAAGCCCTGAGCCTGTTTTTCAGGTTTCAGGCTTGAAAATGACATGTCCAGAACAAATGACTATATCTTCACTTCTAAAAGGGGTCAATTAATATTTTTTCTCAAAGCAATGATAAACCTGTGAGTTGGATGTAGAAAAGTCAGAATCAATATAGATGTTTTTATTTTAAAGTAAATTCAGATTGAACATAGTAAAAGAATGTAAATTATAGTTTCCGTCCAAAACAACCCATTACTTATAGTGAAAACCACCCTTGAATGATGGGATAGTAGGGGTGTTGAAAATAATCGTTTCTACGATGCATTGCGCTGCGGACGATTCGGTATCGATGCAGTGACGGAAAATAATCGATTATAGCGTAGTAACGTTGCTTCCTGATTTTCCGGCCGCGGCTTTACTATAACGTTTTTTTTTCTGTCACTTTAATATCAAATCGGTCGGTGACGCAGAGATCAGGGAACAGACGTGACAGCGGCACCAAACACGGAGCAGTCTGCTTTATCCAGCAACACAAGAACACCAGTCCAGAACCAACAGCAGAAGGACCCGCTCTGAATCACTCCGTGTCGCTGCGGCTCAGAGACACAAGGATTTATGTTTTTCAAAAATAATCGCGTTACAATCATGTCAGGTTTTTGGTGGATTTAATTAAGTCTTGGATTGCATAGTATGAATGTCCTCTAGCAATTTTCAGACGATATATACGTGTGTAAAGTTTGTGAAGGCAGGAGGAAAAAAGCTTCCGCGATCACCGTCTCCTCTCCGTTCCTCCAAACCCCACCCCCTCCCTGAAAATAATGAGTGACAGGCTGATAGTGACCCGATAGAAACTTTATTATTCACTTAATCACTGATTGAGATATAATGAAGCTAACTTAATCTCATACATTCATGGGATTTATGTAACAGTAAGACAGAGAATGTAAGTGTGCACCCACATGCAGTATTTTTGTTTGTATATGCTATTGTAAATACTCCTGTTGTCTGCTGTGTTCAGACTCAAGTCCTGTGTGTGATGCCACATTCAGGACATTCAGTGTCCTTTTTTTAACAGAAGACCGTTGCTAGAAGCTGCAGCTAGACTGCAGAAGCATTAGTTTTTTGTTTTTGAGGATGGAACAACTTCACACTAGACCTATACAATTAATTTATTTTGGTTTATAAATTAATGTCAAGACATTTATGTTATTGATTTCTGAAGCACTTTCTAAATAATAAAAAGAGAGTTCATATGTATTTACTGCATGTATGCATTGATGAAAAATAAGCCATGTGCAGTAATATAGAAAATTGAGGATGCAACGCATTGGTATGAATCGTGATGCATCGTGATGCATCGGGATATCAAATTGAATCGAATCGTTGACAGGATAATCGTAATCGAATCGAATCGTGAGACCAGTGAAGATGCACAGCCCTATGGGATAGTAGACAAAAAGCTTTAGGAATCTAAACTACAACATATAATAAGTACCCTGTATCAAGATTGATGCAAAACAAGTGAAATTTGACCTTTTTAGAGAGGTTTAGAAAGAAAGAAAAACAATTCTGGGGTCATTTGGGTGTATTTGCCATATCTCTGGAACCCATCGGTCGATTTTGGTGATTGACACCACTTTTGAACTGTTAGAGCCAATAGAATCGAGGGGACGTTCCTAAATCCATCTAAACATTACCCATTGGTGAATGAGTGATGCGCAGCCAGCAAGCCCAAAACCGCAAACTGGCTTACAGCTCTCATAGCTCTCATAGCAGCTATATATGAAAACTCAGTTTTTTACCTAAATGTTATGATGGATTATCAGTAATCATTTCAAAGTGACACAGAGACATTGGATTAACCTTCAGCAGCGTTTTTATGCATTTTAATGCCCTTGAACACAACTTTGATTAGAAAACAGCAAAGGTAAGACGTATTTGCCGTTTTGGCACCGTAAAGCTAAGTTGTGTGTTGTCTGGTTTCGCCTTCGCTGCCACGAGTTTTGGTTGCAGTGATGATACTTATTGGAATCTGTGGAATCTCAGCTTTCATATGATATCTAGTTTGTGCAGATCCGATGAAGTATAAAATATTGCTACCGTGAGTTATGTGCCAAGTGCGTGAGCACTCTTTCGCTCAGTGCTAATTCAGACGCTCGGCGTTAGAGTTGTGTTTTGTTTCGGTAAAAATGGTTCATATCGTCAGTTAGCTACATTTCTTCCCGTTAAAGGTAGGGTA